TGGAACAGTCCAGTGTCAGTTAGCTAATGCAGCAAAACAATTTGGGACATTAATTTTATGCAGAATTGGCAGGATGGATTAAATTAGAAGACAGCCAAAACGTGTCTCTGTCTTCACCACAAGCTGGCGTACAAGTGACGTCAGTCACCCTTGACCTCAATTCCGGTTTTTAGAAATTAACTTCTAAATGTAAATTTATACATCTATAATTTTTTTAAAATGCCCAATTGTTGTGCATTAGGTAAGGTAAGAAAATAAAACATAAATACATATATTTTGACAAATAAAAAAATTAATTAAGAAACTTTTAATTACATGTCAAAATAAAACAATATTTAATACTCAAAAATTTGAGTGGGTTACATGTAACAAGAGGCAATTTAATCATAAATTAATGTTTACTTTATACAGCTATCATAACATTATTTATCAATATGTGGCTCTATTTGGATTTTCGGAAGCTATACAAAAATTAACAATGTAAAAGGAAATACATTGGGACCATTGTTTTTGTTTACATCCCTTAAAATGGTCTATTCTATAGTCTTTATTAATGCTGATGACTGAAACATCTGCATTTTCGCGGATATCCTGAATGGCATTTACATTTGAATTAAATTTTTAATCTATTTTAATCAGTTCTTAATTGAAGTGAATGGTCCCTACAAAGACTTCATTCATATCGATATTATTATGTATGTGTAACTAAAAACGCCCGCGCACAGTCAAAGAGGACGCGCTTGATTAATATTCATTATGCGCGAATGGATTTTTAGACCAATGAGATTCGTGTTGGGCGTGGCTACGTGCGTAACCGGTAATGTTCATTCTCTTCAGTGTTGCTTTCTTCTTAAGTGTCGCTGGAGATTTTTATAGACTTGTGTACCGTTCCTACTCAGCTCAACTAGCTGCGGGTGATGCCGTCGGCCCCTCCCCCGCCTCAGAGCACTCACAGGCGGTCCAGTCCTCGAACAGCAGTCTCTCCCACCTGCAGCCATGAGAGCAGATCGTTCCTCTGATTACCGACGTCAAAGGATTTAGCACCGCGAGCGTGAGGTATTTTCCTTCTAACATTACAGTCACACTGATCTTCTTCTTCCTTGTTTTAAATTTAACAATTTAATTTGGCTGTTTAATCTTTCTTGTTTACAATCAGAGAGACTTTAGTGACAGTTTTGGAACTTATTATTGTATGTCTGGTAGATTACTGCAAATTCAACATACATCTATACTGATATTCTGTATTCAAACAACAGTTCATTTAATTAAATTGACATGAATATGTATAAAAGTGTAGTGCAAATATAAATACCCCTTTAATAATAACCATAGGCTCAGGGGAGAATTTAGTGATGTGGGGGCCCTTAGCAATTCCAACCATGGGGCCAAAACATTCTAAAAATGCACCTTTTGTACTTTAATTATTATTATTGTTTTTTCGTTGGCGACACGGTGGCGCAGTAGGTAGTGCTGTCGCCTCACAGCAAGAAGGTTGCTGGTTCGAGCCTCGGCTGGGTCAGTTGGCATTTCTGTGTAGAGTTTGCATGTTCTCCCTGCGTTTGCGTGGGCTTGCTCTTGGTGCTCCGGTTTCCCCAACAGTCCAAAGACATGCGGTACAGGTGAATTGGGTTGGCTAAATTGGCCGTAGTGTATGAGTGTGAATGAGTGTGAATGGTTGTTTCCTAGAGATGGGTTGCGGCTGGAAGGGCATCCACTGTGTAAAAATGCGCTGGATAAGTTGGCGGTTCACTCCGCTGTGGCGACCCCGGATTAATAAAGGGTCTAAACCGAAAAAGAAAATGAATGGATGAATTTTTTTCATTTATTTAGCAGTTTTTTTTCTTTTATCACTTAAGCACTCGTTTTCTAGAGTTTGTCTTAATGCAAAATAACATTAACAACGTGTAAAACTGTTTAAATGATTTGTTTTCATAAAATGAATTCACAGCTAAAAATTATGTATAAACTATTTTGTTTTAAAACTAAATCTGTACCTAATTTGACTGGTGGACATCTCCATGATTGAGGGTAGGGGATACATTTGTGCAGATGTAATAAACATTAAACTTTTATTTTTTTAGACAATCATCATACAAAACATAATGGAAAATTATGTTATATATAATAGTTATACGTATTTATTTTGGAGCCCTCAGATTTCCTTGAGCCCTAAGCGGCTGGTTATCTAGCTTATTGGTTAAATCAGTCCCTGCATAGGCTGTTAAATAGGAAAAACTGCTCGACGTGATGACGTAGGTAATATGCAAGTTGAAGTATGGCGTAATCTAGTGACATTTAGCGACTTTTCAAGCAAAGCTTAAGGCCTTTTCATTGAAAATAGTTGGCAACACTGCTTCGCTTGTCAGTCCTTACGACAGACTGTGAAGAAAAGCTCTGAAAAAACATGCACAACTTTGCATTATCCCATATTATTAAGACGCCGTGTAATGTAAGAGTGTTTTAATCCATTCAATAATACACTACCGTTCAAAAGTTAGAGAGCTCTGTACACAAAATACAAAAGTCTCATTTATTGGAGTTACGTCACTTGACAGCAATCTAATATGCCGCTATTTGATTACGTTTTTTAAAATCCAAACAGACATTACAATAGGGTGTATGCACAGCTAGTGTTTTTCAGCCAATGATGAACTTCCAGTGAAAGCTTAATGCGTCTATTTTAAATTTTCATAAGGTTACTTTTACAGCATTGATGTGATAGTGTAAAGCATTCATTCAGTTGTTCAGGCGTAAAACGAGATGAAAGACCGTTGAAATGCAGGGGAGGTCATTGGCAGCTGGCGAGCACAGAAACTCTATTGAAAATACTGGGGTAAATTTTAAAGTTATGGCGCGGAAAAATATAATATAACGCAGTGCTTTTTGTTTGGTCTGATGCCCACTTTATTTTGTATCTCAGCCAGCCAGTGAACATCGCTGTTTTTCAGATCTTAAAGGCAGTGATTTTGTATGGAATGACAATGGGGTATATGCCGAAGCATGCTATTACTTTTAATTTGCCAGTAACCTGGGTTAAGCGCTTCCGGCGAATTGAATGCCAATGCATAATCCAGTGTGTTAAAGGTCTGTTTTCTTTAAAAATCAGCGATCTCCATTAGCTGAGTGATATCCGATTTAAAGTGGGTCTCAGATTGTACTAGAGGCGCTGCATTAAATTACATTTCCCCCGCCATATCTTTATAATATGAGCATTTATTTTACCCCAGTATATTCAATGGAGCTTCTGCGTTAGCCTGCCGATTCTGACGGGCGCGTGCGAGTAAACAGCTTTTTGTCTCGTTTTACGCTTGAGCAACTAAATAAATGCTAAAGTTTATTTAACTGAATGTATTTTAATGACATTACAACATCGATGCTGTATAAGGAACCGTATAAAATGGAAAAAAGTTCACAATAACAAGCCACCGGAAGTGTATCAGCATGGGAACAGCACTAGCTCGGCATATACCCTATTAACTGAAAACCCTGGGGCTGACTGAAATTAAAAGTCCATGTGCAAATACCCCATTCCTGAATAGGGTCCTTTGGGAGTAATAGTCATTTGCTGATTTGATTCCAAAAAAAAAAAAAAAAAAAACATTTAGTTTAATACTAATGTATAAATAAATAGTGATTATTTTGTAGGGCTCTTTTATGTATAGAGTAAAAAGAGCTTAAAGTACAGCATAAATTTGAATTTATTTTGTTACATTGTGCTGTTGTTTCTTTAAAAAAAAATCATAGATTTTAAAAAGTAATTTCTTAAAAAAATTTTTTTTATTAAAAATATGTACAATTGTTGGTGATATATTAAATCCTTAAGAAAGCTGTTTTTCTCCATAAACATAATAGTTGCCAAAAGAAGTGCTCTCTGAGAGTATATTTCAAAATATGGTCATGGGACGATAACCGTTTTCAAGGTATACTGTACCATGGCTTAGAAAAGTGAAGGTTTTAAAATTTTCTGTCATCCCGTTCATACCTTGTTTGTAAGATTGTTTTTTTTTTATTATTATTATTAGGACAACAGTATCTCCAGCAGAAAAGATATCCAAAGATGCCGTTTTAAATGGTAAAGAAATCAGTGTTTTTGAAACTAATGAAAACAGCACAGATCAATAACTCATTTGAATTATTTAGCCTGACATAAAACCGATTCTGATTCTGAAAATATAAATTTTTTTTCTCAAAATAAAAAATTTTGGCTGTGTCTGAAATCGTCTTCTGCTCAGAAGGTACTGCATTTGAATTTACTACTCGACCGATAGAAAAGTATGTTCTATACAGTATGAATGTTAGTACCATGAATGGAGCTTGGATGTACTATATTTGCCATTTTATATTTGTCATTATATTTGCTAGGCATGGGACGATAATTGTTTTCATGCCCCATTTACACGGGGCTTCAGCATCAACGCTTGACAGAGGGCGTGTCTGAAGCTGGGGCTGACACTATCGCCAGTGCAACGTCAGCCAATTAAATTAGTCAGCAATCGGCTACTGTCTGAGCTGGTGTATTTGCATACAGCAATCTGATTGACTGATGCTTCCGTCGGCGCTTGAAAAGTTGAGAAAGTCCCAACTTCTGCAGCGAGCAACACCTCTGAAGTGGCGCCGACAGATCCAAAATGCAGTTCGGCAACGTCTGACGTCACCCATTCAAAGTTTTAAAACCGTAAAAATTTTCTGCAATACCATTTCTAAGGTATGTGTACGATTTTTAATTTCCTTTTTTTCAGAAAGCACTATCTTCAGCAAAAAAGACATCCAAAATGCTGTTCTAAATTGTAAAAAAAAAAAAAAATCTGTTTTTGAAATAAATGACGACATCAGAAGTCAATAATTCATTAGAAAGATTTAGCCTGACATGTTTACTACTCCAAAATATATAAAATGTTTCTCAAAATAAAATATATTGTGTTTAAAAGGGACAAAAGTTGTTGTTTTCTACCCAGACATTTAAAAAGCATTTATTTTAGAGCAGTAATCAATACAGCGAAACCGTGATATTTTTATCTAAGGTTATCATACCGTCAGAATCTTATACCGGCCCATGCCTACACGTGAAACACGCGATTCACTCTCATTCATGAATTATCTTGCATCTTGGGATAACGTAGTGTCCATTGGATGCGCTCTTCAGATACTCATTGGAAGTCATACTATGAATTCGGACATACTACTCAGCTCTACTGTTTATAGCATATTATATAGTATGGAAGTATACAGTTTCGGACTCAGCCATTGTGTTTAAAGTGGAAAAAAGTTATTATTTTTTCTCCAGACATTTAAAATTAATATATTTTAGAGCAATAATCACAATACCATGAAACCGTTATATTATTCTACAAGGTTTTCATACTGTTAGAATCTTATACTGGCCCATGCATACTAAAATAATATAAATAATAATAATAATAATAATAAATGTCTTCCATTTTCTCAGCGTCCTATGTCTATGTGCAGATTTTTCATATTAAAGGCAATGAAAATAACCTGTTCTTTGACATAAAAGTTAAATGACTGAACCTATACATAGCAACCTGAGAAGAAGGAAATGCACATTTTAGAAAAAATTTCAGATGGCACTAAGAGGATTTTGGATCTAATCTTCTTCTTCTTCATTCTGTCCAACAAACACATCAAAAGGGAACGTGGCCTTAATTTGCAAAGCTGAGTTGAAAGCTTGCAGTGTGGACTCCCAAGAATTGCATCTCGTTGAAAGACTTTGCGGGGCCACTAGCCAAAAGAAAATCACCCACGTTCACAGTTGGCACTGAAATATCTTTTACACAGGAGGTGGAGCCAGATGCACTGTCCAATCAGAGCTCAGCCTGCAGATGATTGACACATTCTAGTTAAATTGAGTCAAAACATCAAAAAGAAATCTAATCCCTGCAGTTTTTTGCTCTTCCCTTCCTTTTTACCGCTTTTTTTCAGTAAGATTTACAGTTTATGAATTGCGAAGAGCTCATGCTCACTGTCTGTGTGTTTGTGTGTGCTTCGGTCAGTGTGTGAGTATGGCGATGAGGTCATCAATCGGCGCCGTCTCCGAGGGCTCCAGCAGTCTGAACATGTGGCTGAAGGTGATGAAGTGTGTGAAGAGTGTGTTGAGGTGCGGATGGAGCTCTACTGCGATGGCGTCCTGGTAGTGGACGCTGAACAGGTGAGCCAGTGTCCGAAAGAGCATCACAAACACCTTCTGAACCAGGAACATGAACCCTGGAGGAAATGATGAACCTGAACACACACACACACAGGTATGTAAATCATTGTTGCTTAATCTTCAATGGAGAGTACAGTTTTTATGGTCACATTTTATTTTAAAGGGTCACGAAACACCAAAACACATTTTTTGAGCTGTTGACAGTCGTATATGTGTCCCACACTGCTAAAAACACTATTAGGACACCTATATTTCACTAAAAAGTGTAAATTGGTTGTTTTTGCGTTATTTCAAGAAAATTCGTACTTCCGGTTTGAAATGAATTTTTGAAGCTGCGTCATGGCCATGACATAATAGCGTGTATTCCAGCATGCAGACTGGACGTCTGTGCCAGAGTGTGCCTTATTACGTCTTACAGTGTGATGCATTAATGCATGAGTAAAGCTTCGTTCAAACCAATCAGCGCACTCTATTGTGCAACTTCATTAATATTCATTAATGTCACCGTATTTACACGACAGAGACGCCACGTTGTGTTGGCAAAACAAGCGAGAAGTGTTGCTTTTATAGTTTGCTGCCGTTAAGTTTTGTTTTCATTTCCTCTCTGTGAGAGCTCAGAGTCACGTGTGGATAAACAGTGTACGCGACGCTCGACAACAATAACTTACGTGTCTAAGGAGGAACATTGTTTACCTGAGGGCTGTTCTCATCTGCAAACGCTGAGATCCGGATTCGCTTGTAGTCTTCTCTTCATAAAGACGCGGCTCTAGTTGCTGGTGATTGTCCTGTCTCTACAGATTTGGTAAGTGAGCGACCAGTGCTCTTTGTTTATTCAGTTTGTTCGTATCGAACTAAGTTAACTATTGCACCGATTGTACACATGTTAGCACCACAACCAAACTTTAATCTCGTGTAGGGTTTTTACCACATTTAGTGACCGGAATAACACACGCGGCTTTCTGACGCTACCTGCCGTGTGCAGCTAAGTTTCCGGGAAATGCTGAGGGTTTTTTTCTCTCATTCGCCGTGAGGTATCAAACATTGCATGAAAAATACACGCTTAGAGCAGTTCCTCGAATCAAATATCTTGTTTGTCGCGAGGGGCATGAATGAATTCCCTGAATGAAAGAGCCAAACTGCAGTTAAAGTCCACCATTTAATAATTTGGCCAATAATTCGACTACAGATGTCCATGTAGGTTAAACACCATCACTTTCTCCTCTGTGTTTATTTTGACTCTGAAACTCGCTCGTGCCCAAATAGACACTCCCACACCCTCCCACTTTAGTTCCTCCGACACTCCCCCCTAAACAGAGCTGGACACGCCCACTTTTCTGACTTTTTCCAAAGTAGAGGTGTGAAAACACCCTGCTGAAACGAGGGGGTTTCATGGCCCTTTAAGGTACAGTACAATTCCTGCTATTAAAGGGCCATGAATCCCTCCTGTCTCAGTAGGGTTTTCACACCTCTAGTTTGAAAAAAGTCAGGTATGGGGTGAGTCCAGCTCTGTTTAGGTGGGAGTGAGGGAAAGAGGGAAGGGTTTGCATGAAAATGGGAGTTTTCGTTTCAAGCATGTGCTGATTTTTAGAGGGGCAAAACAACACACAGACGCAGGGGAGAAAGACAGTGACTATGTTTACATGGGCATCAGTAATCGAACTATTTGCCAGATTATTAATTTGTCGACTTTAACTGCAGTGAAAACTGCAGTTAAACTTTTTACTGAAAACTTTTAAAAAGTTAATACAAAAAAAAATCAATAAAAACAAAGGAAATAATCTTTGGCTGTTTTCCAATATGCGTTCTTTTCTGTACTTGCGTTCTTGTGTCCTCGTGAAATGTCATCAACCGTCGCCAAAGTACTGTTCCAATTCAAAGTTCACATCTTTTCAAGTACACATGAAATTCCCGGATATGTACTTGCTCTGGCCTTTGGCCAAGGATGCATCGAGAGGTGACTTGTGCGAACTTGCGAAGCTCAGGTATCCCAGAATGCATCGCAATGTAACCAGCAAGCGCTAATGGCGGAGGAGGAAACCCGCACGGTTTTAAAAATACTCCTTAACTGTGTCACAAAATAAAGTTTTAAGAGTGTTTCAGGCGAGAATGTAGTTGTTTTAAACTCGAATCGGCAGTTTATTCACAATAATAGCGCTTCTTTAACGATGTGGCTCAGCTTATGCGGACTCCGACTCCCAGCCTGCCAGCGGGAGCTCCGTCATCAGCTCCCCCGCCAGAGCAGCTTTACTTCGGCCAGGCCATCTCGGACGTACCGCTGGATCTCATCTCTCCATTGTAGTTAAAACATGATATTTAATACATCTTGTGAATATCTAACGGACAGTTTTTGGTGGTATAAATCTATTATTTGTTCTCAGGTGTACTGTTTTGGCAGTGTTATTTTGTTACCTTTTATAATTGTCTTTAATTATGTTACCGCGTTGTACGCTTGTCTTTGATTACCAAATTGCTTGACGTAATCTTTATTTCTTATTGTGTATGTCTTTATGTCCTTTTGTGTGTAAAATGACCATTGTAGTTTATTAAATCTGATAATCAAAGACACGTGTCAGTGTATAATAACTCATTTTAATTCACATTTTTATGAATATGTGTACATTTTCTTAAATCAAAAATGTAGATTTATAATATTGATATAATATTAATTAAATCATTTTATTGTTAATGTACAGTGAAACTGATGAATCCATGGTGAGGTAAGTGACATTATAAAGTACACTGCTGTTCCATTTGAAGAAGTACCCGACTTGTGTCCTCGCGTCCTCGGGAGTTCGTTCTTCCAAGTCTGAACTTGGCAAGTCTGAACTTCCAAGGACGCAAGACCGAACCTTGCGTACTTGGTATTGAGAAACAGCCTGTGATCCCAAGTGTGTTGTCAAGCATCTACCAGTGTTTGTACATAATCAAGAAATCATTTGGGTACAGTCATACAAGTATTTGGGAATTTACATAGACAGGTCTCTAACATGGGACACTCATGTAAACTGGATTTGTGTAAAGCTTCACCAAAGACTGTATTTTCTACGAAGGTTATGGTTTTATGGTGTTGATAAGGAACTCATGTACTTATTTTATCAAGCTGTATTTGAGAGTGTTATCAGGTATGGTCTATCTACATAGTATGGCAATCTTTCTGTGAATCTGAAATCAAATTTTTTTTTAATATTATCAGAACTGCTACAAGACTAATAGGATCTAAAACTTTTACTAGTATACAAACACTCTACAAGCAATGCACTCTGAATGAAGCGAAAAGATTCTTAAGTAACCCGTCTCATCTACTCTTTCCATTTCATCTTTTACCTTCTGGTAGAGGATACAGGCTTAAGAACTCTTTTATTCCAGTGTCAATCAGACTGTTGAACACATGCTAAACCTGCTCTAAATGCTTAGCATATCTAAGTGGGAACTCTTGAAGTGAAGTTTCATAAACTAATTTCGAGAGGAGCACGTGATATGATTAAGCACAACTGGCCGCTCATCTGTAATCAGTAATAATCCAATCAGAGTGATCCTAGTTTACTGTAAATGGATCATTTTCTCCCTACTGCTCTATCTTCGTTTTGGAAGAATCCCCCTTCCACCCCATCTCCTCCTTTTTCTCTCTTTTCTAAAGTGGGAGCTCTCGAGACCTACCTGATCTCGGATTTCCTTATATGCTTATTGACTGTGCAGGAGCCCTGGGCTCAAATATCTCCAAGCTCAGGGTTCTCTCCCGGGACAGCATGCCAAACCTGCTATAAATGCTAAGCATATCTAAGTGGGAACTCTTGAAATTAATATATATTTTTTTTATTTGAATTAAAATTGCATTGCGTTTAGTTACATTGAATTTAATATTTATTTTGTATAACATGTCTTTATTAAGTTTTACAATGTTTTACAGTGAATTAAACACCATTTCTCAAAATGTGCCCCACATAGGTTTAGGAAAAAAGAATAATAATAATTTTAAAAACCACCAATCAAACTCGAATAAAAAAGTGATAATTTATTTTTTTTTATTTTTTTTAATCAAACTCTTGGGCTCATGGACAATGTAAAACATTGTTCTCTGATGAGTCCATCTTCACTAACTTTCCCTCCTCTGGGAGAGTTACGGTGTGGAAAAGACCCAAAGAAGCATACAACCCAGACTGTTGCATGTTGCCCAGAATGAAGCATGGGGGTTGATTAATGATGCATTGGGCTGCAATATCATGGCATTCCCTAGGCCCAATACTTGTGTTAGATGGGCATGTCACTGCCAAGGACCACCCAACCATTCTGGAATACCAAGTGCAGCCAATGGTTCAAACATTGAAGGCGGTGACTGTATCAGGATTATAATGCACCAATTCACACAGCAGGACTGGTGACCGAGTGGTTTGATGAGCATGAAAGTGTAGTTAAACATTTTCCATGGCCTGCACAGTCACCAGAACTTTATATTATTGAGCCACCTTGGAGTGTTTTGGAGAAGCGAGTCAGGAAACGTTTTCCTCCACCAGAATTATGTTGTGACCGGGCCACTATTCACAAAGAACGGTTCAGGTTCCCTTTGGCCACTGTGCAGAACTTGTATCTGTCATTTCCTAGACAAACTGATGCTGTATTGGCCACAAAAAAAGGCCCTTGGCCAGTGTTTCTCAACCACGTTCCTGGAGGACCACCAGCACTGCTTGTTTTGGATGCATGTCTCCTTAGTCTGCCACACCCGTCACAGGTCTTGCAGTCTCTGGTAATGAGCTGATGATCTGAATCAGGTGTGTTTGGTTAAGGACACATGGAAAATGTGCAGAGCTGGTGGTCCTCCAGGAACGTGGTTGAGAAACACTGCCCTAGGTCATACTAATCGATTATTGTGGTCTAAAACCAGGCGCTTTGGTTCCAACCCTCTATATATCTGTCTTTGTTACACAGTTTGTGCTGAAGCAAACAAAATTAGATGATAGTCAAGGGTATTTATAAAAATAGAAGAAGTAAGCACAATTATCAGAGCTTACACATCCCAAGGCCCCGCAAATCACCTCAGACCTCATTATTAGCTAGTAGTTTGGTTTAGGTATTGGCTAGGATTAGGGATGTAGAATAAAAACGTGCAGAATATGTACTGTATACATAAGTACTAATAAACAGCCAGTATCTCGATAGTAAGCAGGTGAGCTAGTTAATGTAATGACAATTGGTCCCTATACTAGTGTTCCATTGTTATTTTTTGTTATGAGAGCTTCATACCAACTTTGGTGGGGAACACGCGCTCATCTGTGAGTAACTCCTGGATGTAAGACAAGGCGTAGTCGATGTAGACAGGAGCTGAACATTTCATTTTCTTCCCATGTTCATCCGTCCATTCATACAAACTGAAAGCACAAACATAAACAGCTTTAAAAAACATGCTCTTTAAAATACTATAGATATTGAATTTACACTACTGCGTATGCTCGAGTTGTACTTTTGTGTTTTCACAGTCGTATTTGTGACTGTGTTCATTAAGTGTAATAAAATCCCTGTAATATTTGTTATCAGGGTAATTTCTTGACAGTTTACTTTAATAGTGAGATGTAAACAGAGCCATGCTGGTGTTTAGGTTCAAAGGATGCATGCTGTATGAATAAATTGTAGTTTCAGTAAATCGCAGAAATTTGCTTTCTTCCCACAGTGATCTTGTAGTTGTTCCTAAATCTCGCCTGTGATCCAGGGCTTTTTCTTATTATGCTCAGACACTGTGGAATTCTCCTCCAGTTGACATTAGGAATTTGAAGTCTCTTGCTGTTTTTAAATCTTTATTTAAAACCCTCATGTATCTGTCTTCTATTATCTGTTTTTATCTTTTATCTATGTTGTCTTGGTTTGTATGTAAAGCACTTTGATAAAGTAACTTTTAAAGCCACTAAATAAAATAAACATATTACTATTAATATTATTGTTAGTAGAAATATTAATATTATTGTTAGTAGAAATATTATTATTATTATTATTATTATTACTTATTATTAATCATTATTATTATTATCAATAATTATAATAATTATTCTTATCATTAATTATTACTATTAGTTATGATTATTATTACTAATAAATATTATCATCATCATCAATTATTAATTATTATTATTATTATGATTATCATCATTAATTATTACTATTAATTATTATTTATGTAAATTATTACTAATAATAATAATAATTTATTTATTATTATTATCATCAATTATTATTATTATTATTCCCAGTGTTTTTTGCTATTGCTGTTGTCATTTGTTTAAAGTGACATAAAACAATAAGAAATAAAACCATCTTTTTTTTTATTTTTTATTTTTTTATTTAGCTTGATGAACTAAAATTAATCAAAATAAAAATTAATAAAAATCATAAAAGTGTTTAAAAAAACAAAAAGTGATAAAAACTGAACACATTTTAAATTATAATAAAAACTAAACGTTTATCATATATATATATATATATATATATATATTTTTTTTTTTTTTTTTTTAACTACATGCTATGCTATATTATTGATACGAAAAGGTAGTTTTGCTGTGACAAAACAAACCAATCTTAATTATGTAACATTAGATGCAAGTTTTGATATAATGATGTTTGTTGACAGTTCTTTTTGTGTTTGGTGATACCTGTATGTACAGTATGTGTGTATGCTTGACAACTCGAATTAAAATTCACAAATGATAACAACAACACTATTACACATTTTCCCAACATTAGTTGTTTACAAAAATATACATTAATTGTGTCATTTTATGTAATAAGAACAAGCTATTAAAAATCTAAATAGCTGAAAAATGATATTATATTATATTATATTATATTATATTATATTATATTATATTATATTATATTATATTATATTATATTATATTATATTATACTATATTATATTTTTCATTCATTTATTTTTTTGGCTTAATAAATTGAAGTGAGGGTTGGATTTTGGGTTATCGTTGTGTTAGAGCGCGCTAAAATACAGTTTGTACAATATAAGTAAATGTGTGTGTGAGTGTTCTGCTCACGTGTTTGCTGGGCTTTTGGCTGCTGGACACACTGTCGTTGAACAATATTCAGACAGAGCACTGAAGAAGAGTGTAGTGTGCTGGAAAAACGACACAGCTGGAAGAGATGGACAGATTGAGTTTGCACACACACACACACACACACACACACACACACACACACACACACACACACACACACACAGACAGAAGCTCTAAGAAGATGTCAGTCTTGTCATATTAAGAAGCAAGTTGTGTTTTTGTTTATGTGTGTTAGACAGATGTCTTGAGTGTCTGGTACTATATAATGTACCAGTTGTTACTGTATGCACTGTTAGCCTAGCCCAACACATTCCCAGCATTCCTTACGCATTGCTGAACATTATACATATGTTCACAAATATTTGGCATGTTTTCATGTCTAGTGCGTCCTTTCAGCCCTGAGTTTCTCATTCAGAAAACACTTTTGAGTGTTTCTTGTGTACAGTTTGTAATGACTAGGTGTTAACTGTACTGTATGCATGGGAACGTGTGTTTTCTTAGCATGTAATTAGCTAAGAATTATCTACTTCATATATAAAGTTGCTCACTGCTGTGTGTGTGTGTGTGTGTGTGTGTGTGTGTGTGTGTGTGTGTGTGTGTGTGTGTGTGTGTGTGTGTGTGTGTGTGTGTGTGTGTGTGTGTTAGTCTGTGTGTGTGTATGTGTGTGTGTATTCACATATAGGTAAAATGCAGGAAATGATTCTGTGTGTGGGACTGAACCGACTTCCCCTTTTTACTTTCATATTGTTTTGTTGAAACTTTGGTGCAGTTTCTCACTTTTTTAAGCACATGGTGTCTGATTTAGATTAACATGTGTCAAATAAGCAAACAGTTTTATGCATATACTGACCTGTTTCATTTTAGAATTGACATTACAAAAAAATTATTTGCTAATTATACATTACAGTTTCTTTACATTTTAGATTAGGTAAAAGTTGCACATGAATGTACAATGTATTAAAGAGGTGGTCCAGAGTGCATGTTTAAGGCTTGGTTGTGTTTATAAGGTGCAAAGCAATGTGTGCTCATGCTTCATTTGGAAAAAATCAGGTTATTTTTTCATATACCTTCAGCTGATTATATACAGCTACTCAGCTAACATCAAACGACTGTCATATTTCCTAGTTTCTCCAAAGACCCGCCCTCAAGAGGCTCTGATTGGTCAGCTAACATAATGGTTGTGAATTGCGGATCAGCTCCACGTCACCAGGAAGTGTCACGCCTCTACTAGCACAAGCTTTGTATCTGCTGTGTAAATATTGGCAGTCAGGGTAGCTGTCAGCCGTATCAGTTTGATCCAGAACGAGACAGAAAATGAAGAGGACACAGCTGAACCTTACACCTACTCTTTAAAGTAAGATCTGACAAGTGCCTTTCACATATATATCTTTTGCGAGTTCGTTATTTGAGATGTAGAACTCGGGGAAAGCGGCCGCATAGAGAGACACTGCAGCGCTGCTGAAGATTGTGGCTGTTTACAGCCGTTTGACGGATAAATATGAATTTGTTGCTAAATTGTTAGCGGTGCCGAACAGCATTTCTCGTTGCTTACATCCTTGTTGATGTCCTCGCTACACCATACTGTTAATGCTAGAAACTATGCATGCAATAGATCAATTGAGACAAATAAAAACACTAACAGGTTGTGGCTCACAATCCACAGCTTCTTCTATTAGGCTTGGAGCTGCTCCTTTGAGGAGTTTTTAACCGAATCCAGCACTGAACTGGGAGAGATTCTGGAAGCAGTCCTTTGTCAAATGCTAGAGCTATATATTTTTAATAATAATTTTGGAAGCCCAAATACAGAAACAGAAGGAGCTCTGTGGAAATAGCAGCGTTTGTACGGCATTTTAGCTTTCTCTGCTTTAACATTACAGCGCCTCTGACCACGCCCCCTTTGCTGAGCAAGGTGTATGCGTGTGGTGAATGCGCGTAACCTGAAGGGTTTGAACTCATTAACCCTGATTAATTTTTTGTAGTCCCCAAATTCGTTTGCTATAGGCTTTGCTAAGCTAACTCTGTAAGCATTGGACTGAACTTTGAACGCCTTACATTCAGAGATGTTGTTTATGTACACACAGCTACATTACACATCAACTAAAGCTTAAAATATGATATGGTAGTGGACCACCCCTTTAATAATTTGGTTAAATGAGTAAACGTGTCTCTATTAGTCTGATGTGGGTTGGGGCAACTCAGTGTGTGTGCATGATGTATTGGTTTTAGTGGTTTACAAGGACAATTATTTTTGTATAATGACATGAGTGTGGCATAGTTGTACTCTATTAAGGTGGTTTACGAGGACATGCCTGATGTCCTTGTTATTCAAGATGCTTTATTTTGACATGGGTTGGGTTTAGGGTTAGCGTGAGGCCACATAATAAGCAGCTGTTACTGTACAAAATACATTACCCATATGCAGAGTCCCTGTAAACCACCAATACACACAATACATATATGTGTGTGTGTCTGTTCGTGTTTTTGTGACATATCTGGACACAAATCTGCATAATGACATAGGTATGACACAGGTATTACAAAAAGCAGGTCAAATATGAGGACATTGGTGACGTCCTCATTTCTCAAAAAGTTAATAAATCACACAGAATCAGTTTATTTCAGAGAGTGATGCTGCACACTGTCTGCTTTGGTGGTTGGGTTTAGGGGTAGTGTGGGGTGAGGGCAATACAATATACAGTTTGGACAGTATAAAATGAATGGAAATCTATGTAATGTACCCACTTTTCACAAAAATGTGTGTGTGTGTGTGTGTGTGTGTGTGTGTGTGTGTGTGTGTGTATATGTGTGTTTGGATACTCACTGTTTGTTGCGATCCACTCCTGCTGGTCGACGCCATGTGGTAGGGCTGAGAGGGTCAGGAGGTCGATGTCAGTGATGTTTTTGGACAAGAAATGATCTTTCAGGTAGGGTTTGACCTCCGCTGAAGGCACTATATGTAGACTGTTATTCTTCCTGTCGTTTTACACACACAAACACATGTACAGTTAGTGAGAATTCACAGCTTATTACATTTCTTCAACATGCACTTATGAATTTAAAAGTTACAGTGCTCACCTCTCAGCATAAATGAGTCCACCCCATTTTGAAAATGAATATTTTGATCCATTTCTCAGTGATTATAGGCAATGCATTTTGGTGCATTTAAACAAAACAGATATATTTATTAAAATAATATTTTAGTCATAGAACATCTTCAGAAATGGAAAGATAACACAATTCAATTCAAGCTAAATATTGCAAAAACAAAATGACAAACTACAACATTTCAACAGAATTTTATATCATTTTTGCTTCTGTTGATTTTTGCTATTTTTGACAATTTATATTTAATATTTTCTATAACATATACATTTGGGCTGATTTTTAAACCATTATCGTAAATTATTTTGTTAGATAAGCTCCACATTTGGCTTCAGCACTGACTAATCTAATGAATATGCACAAAAATAATTTTGTAAAGCATCTTTTAGAAAATATTCATGTAAATGAGAGATCTGTGGGGGTGTACTCATATTTGCTGAGCACTATACTACATTTTCACTTGACTGTAAATATTATATTTTAATATTGTAAAAATCTTTTTTTTTTTTTTTGAAGTTTCATTAAAAAATTTTATTCTTAATGCTTTAAAACTAATTTAAAGAATTAGTTATAGGGGAAAATAATGTGTTAAATCCTCAAACCTGTATAGTTAAATTATTTCACATTTCCGTATTAATTAAAATAAATAATAAAAAAGTAAATAAATGGATTTAATAATTTACTCATGATTTTAAACCTGTATGTATTTCTTTTGCATAATATAACTATTTTTTAAGACTGTTGTTAACCAAAAAAAGTTTTGGAGATGTGATAAATGGTCTGTAAAAATATCTAAATATCAATTTGTTAGACAGAACAGGGGAAAAGCATGGCTGTTGTAGTCTAAGGCAGTGGTTCTCAAACTTTTAAGCCAGCGACCCTCAATGTAAGATCGTCAAGAAGTCGCGACCCCCCCCCCCCCCCAACTACCAAAGCATATACAAACAATACAAAATTACTTATTTTAAGCTGTTCACAATATTTGAACTGTATTTACTATACATTACAGGGCTCAACAATAATATTTTTATAATTTAACCAATCCATTCGCGTTCAATTAAGAAGAGCGGGCAACCATTGCGGGCTTCGCTTTGTTTACTGCAGCAAGTTGACATGACAACTGTTTTAAACTGTTCCTGAGCGCTGCGTCTCAACTGCAAAGATGCATAATGCCTGAAATGTGTCCTAAATACTTTAATTTATTTACTTTAATTAATTTAGTCAAAGTAGACGGTTCCGATGACTCAGGCAAACTGTCCACAGTTTCCTCAACATTTTTAAATATGCGAATTATAAATTTATCCATCTCTGCAGTTGCGGTTTTCACATCCAGATGCGTGCTGTATTGATAACTAGCGAGTTATTCGCTGCACAGTTATGATGCTCCATTCACTTTTTTTTAAATACTAACTTCATAAACAGTAAAAGACAGTAATATCTTTATAAAAAGTAATATCTTATCTGAAATTATTAGCTTTCATGTGTATATTGAAAAATATATATTACAATCACTGAAAATGACACAATTTTTAAATTGCTCTCGCAACCCCTTGAAATTATTTTGCGACCCCCAGTTTGAGAACCACTGGTCTAAGGGCCAGTCCCAATTCTACCCTTATGCTGTGTTCACACCAGACGCGGAACGCGCGGATAAATCACGCTATTCGCGTGAACATTTGAGTTTACTCGCTTCATTCGTGCGTCAACCCCCGCTTTATTCGCCCGTCAAATCCGCTTCAATCGTGTGTCAAATTCACTTCAAAACAGACGTAGATTCGCGTGGTGGGCAGGGCTTCTGTCTGCCCGGTGATTCTAGCTTCATAGCTAAATGGCTAACATGAATTTTATTAAGAAACTATCAGTGTTTATGTGCTTTATGGAGACTGAAAAACAGCGTTGATACGTTTAGGGTCCTGTATGAGTCCACTGCATCCTTTCAGAGGTGCATCCAGCTCTGTGAGCTCATAAACTCCTCCAGAAACTGAACCTGGATGACGGAGATTTTCAGCGGTGCCTCTGACTGAGCCAAGCCCAGTTTGATGACTTGTTGTCGGTGTCGCCTGAAGGATTTGTCCCAGGACACCATCAACAGGTTCTACGTCACAATCACGCCTCCACAAGAGCAAGCTTCTGATTTGTTAACGTGGCGCGAATGTCTGCAGAAGTTCAGATTTTCGAACTCGAGAGATTCGCTTGAAACGCTCGTTAAGCGTGTCAAACGCTCAATTTGACTCACGCGTATCGCGCTATTCGCACCACGCCATTCGCGCATTTCGCGTCATTCGCTCCACGCCATTCGCGCATTTCGCGTCATTCGCTCCGCGCCATTCGCGCGTATCGCGCCGCAGGATGTCTATTCACGCGTTTGCATTGACTTAACATGTAAATCACTCGCGCTTGACGCACGTTCCGTGTCTGGTGTGAACGCAGCATTAGCCCTTCCCCCCCTTCGCCTTGTTTTGCACATTCACGTGAAGGGGTAGGGGTGTCCCAATTCTCTTTACCTTGAAGACGTAGGGCTAAGGGGAAGGGCTAGATAGCCATTTAAACTGAGATTTTTCAGGACCACACTTGAACCCAAGTGGTATGAAAATTTCCCAGAAATTTTTGTCATTATTACGAATTTTTACTACAACGTCCAAATCTTTTACAGTCTATGATTTTGCCCTGTAAAAGTCTGAAATTTCATTCATAATGGTCTTAAGAAGTCTTAAATTAGACTTGGGGAAGCCTGCAGAAACTCTGTTTAAATTTGTCTATGATGGTTATTCTTTTAGTCAAAATTAATTTGCGATTCATTTGATTAATTAATCGCTGCAACATGTAATTAATTAGATGAAAACATGTGCAATGAGTGACAGCTCTAGTGTGAATGTCTGTAGGCCAGGATGACTTGAATGTGAAATTCCTGCAGTGAGCTCGTCGGCTGGTTAATTAGTGTTGAAATAGTTACGCCGCTGAGCAAATAGCCTGCAGTCTGTGAACACACGGTGTGTGACGTTTCACAAGGACACACAGAGATGTAGTTTGTTTGGGTTTGTCATGTGTCAATTACTGTATTTACTAAAAGGGTTTGTATTTGCTTGTTCGGGTTTTCCGACAGCATTAGTGAGTAATCTGCACAGCATTACTGGATAGAGTGCTGCTTTCTACTGTACAGATCCCTCATTTCCCTTCATGCAAATGAGACAAACCGCACATATATCGGAGCATGCTGACCTGGAGGGAAAATAGACCTCCCGACTTCAGCCTTGAAATAACTGATAGTGTATGTTTGTGTGTAACAGGAGATTCGAGACGGTGGCCTTGTGCAAACTGATTAAAACACTGTCTGTGATGTGGAATGTTTTCCATATGGTGTCACAGAAAGTATTTGGTTTTTTACGCCACGTGTTGGAATGAATGGGATTGGATTAGATGCGGAATATCAAATATCAGTTGACGTCTGTCTTACAGCACATGCACTTTACACAGTAGCTAAAGCATTGCACTAATATGTTGTCTCATTATGTACCGAGCTGATTACATTCATAAGGTATTAAAGCTGACAAGATTCTCATCACACCCCAGTTATCGCATGATCTCATCCAAATGAACCACTGATGTCATTTTGTTTCTCAATAATATTGGCTTGCATATTTATTTTTTCAGTAGTTTTTACATCTTTAATAAGTGCACTGTTAAATAATTTTTACATTCGTGGAATATAATATCATATATATATATATATATATATATATATATATATATATATATATATATATATATATATATATACTTTTAAGGAATTTAATGTATATATGCACATTTTCAGTGTGTCGCGGAGTGCCACTAAACTGGCTAAACGTAAAATACTTACGTTTTCTCGTGAGATCAGGCTGGTCAAACAGATCATGTTTGTGGGCAATGGGCATGTGCTATTATAATATTATGCTATTGTTTTAAATACAATACAGCTAATTACTGCATTTGGAAATAGAAAATTCTTCTATCAAAAATGTCAGTTTTTCATTAGCTATTTCTCATACACTGTAAAAATGCTGCGCTCCACACAATTCAATATTATCCCAACACAAAACAATTGTGTTTACTTAACATATGTAGATGAATTGAACATAAAACAATTAAGTTGTCCCAAAAAAATCTCAAGAATTTTGTTGTTTCAGCTCATTTTAAATAAGTTCTTTGAACAAGGAGCAAAATATATATTTTTATACTGTATACAGTGTATTGCTGGGTTGAACAATTCCTTCACGTTTTACCAACACTAATCAATTAATTAACTTCATTAACTGAACAAAATTATTTAAAGATAATTCCTTGAATTTACTCGATTTTTTTTTTAAGTTAAGTGGTTGTAAACATTTTATTTGGGCTAAATTTAAATTTAAACAAACAAATTAAGTTGAACATTATAAAAGTTTATTTGTTTGTTTAAATTTAACACAAATAAATGGTTTGCAGTAGTTTTGCATGCAACACTTTTTTCAACGCTTTCACAAATTTAAGTGGATTGAACATATAACATTTAAATTAATCCTTAATCCTTGTGTTGCTACAACTCTGTTTCAGTAAGTTGTTTAAACAGCAGCAAAAGTTATTTTTGGAGTGTATTTAATGGCAAAAATTTAAGTGGATTGAACATATAAACAATTAAGTTGTCTCTCCCAAAAAAATAGTTTCAGCTCATTTTAAACAAGCAGTTTGAACGAGCAGATTTATTTTTTTTGACTGTAATATCTGCTGGCACCCTTTAACGTTCTTCCATACTATATAAAATATTTAATTCAGAATGTGCACATTGTTATGTTAAACGTTTGTTGTGTTCCCCTTTTAAATGCACTCTGATAACTATACCTCCATATTTTATGAGAACTTTTTTTTACATTTTGTTGGACTTTTGTTGCTTTTTCCCTCTTTTTAATGCACATATTATGTCTGTAGTTTAATAATAAATACATTCATTCATTTTCTTTTCGGCTTAGTAACTTTATAAATCCGGGGTCGCACAGCAGAATGAAACGCCAACCTATTCAGCACGTTTTTACGCAGCTGATGCCCTTCCAGCCGCAACCCATCTCTGGGAAAATCATGCTATTGTTTTAAATACAATACAGCTAATAATATTGCGCTTGGAAATAGAATATTCTTCTCTCAAACATGTCAGTTTTTCATTAGCTATTTCTCATACACTGTAAAAATGCAGCGTTCCACACATTTCAATATTATCCCAACACAAAAAAAATGTGTTTACTTAACAAATTTAGGTACATTGAACATAAAACCATTAAGTTGTCCTGAAAAAAATCTCAAGAATTTTGTTGTTTCAGCTCATTTTTAATAAGTTCTTTGAACGAGCAGCAAAAAAAAAAAAAAAAATTATATATATATATATATATATATATATATATATATATATATATATATATATATATATATGTATATATATATATATTAGGGATGTAACGGTATTGTAAATACCGTCATACCGCAATATTAATTTTTTTCGATATTACCGAAGTCGCATGACTCGGTAAAACTATAGGTCTTCTGAGAAAATTTGCTCAGGCGAATGAAGCGAACAGGAGATAGAACTACAATTGCCATCAGCCCATGCTTGACCATCATCCCTTGCGGTCTGTTGTCGCTACAGATCCAGTAATGCGGAAATGGAGTGTGCTGCTAGAAGCGGGGATGAAAAGAGCTGGAAAACTCTAAGGCCCCGTTTACACTAATGCGTTTTAGTTTGAAAACGCATAAGTTTTGCTACGGTTACGCCAACCGTCCACACTACGCCGGAGTTCTCGAGCGCCGAAAACTGCTGCTCTGTCTCAGTGTGGATGATGGAAAACGGAGACATCTGAAAACCGAAGCGGGGCTGCAGACATTCGCCTCTCTGATTGGGGCTTTTCCTGAATATTAAGTAGCCTAACACGCACAGTTCAGTCCTGCATTCTCTCTGTGTAAGTTCAGACTTAGCAAGTTTGATCAAGGCTGCAGTCTCTTCTTCTCAGTTTGATATGGAAAAGCAGATTATACCGAGGACACGGGTAAATCTTCAAAGGGAACAGTGTACTTGATAACTTCATTCACATCACCCTGGCTTGTTTCACTTTCTCAACAATAAAATGTAAACATGATTTAAGGAACTGCCTATTTTCATTTTAATATTAGCAATATTAGCTGCATAAGATGAGCGTCATCTTCACTGTGTGGATATTTATAACAAAACGGAGCCGATAACAACTGCCTCCTTTCAATTTCAGTGAAAATACGAAACACAGCCTCTCTTTTGCCAAAACACGTTACCTGAGAACAAGTAATAGATTCCAATGCCCAAAGTCAGGGAATATGTCGTTAGATAAAGACAACAAGATAAATGAAATATCACGTTTAATAAATATAGTGAGATTAGATCCAGCGGGAGATGCTTGATGAGAAGTCCGACTAGCAGAGCTCTGATCTGGGTAGATGGGCTGAGTGTGATTAAATGTTGAATGTGATGAGTTTTCAACAATACTAAATTGAAACTTAATTTTTTTTACATGGTTTAATAATTTTTTGTTATTAAAATTGAAGTTCCTGTTTCAAAGCTTACAGATAGATGGCTAATTTGTATGTCATTGACACTTTTTTGGAGTATTTTCATAAGTTTTGTTTTTTCCTGTAAATGATTCAATAAATACCGTACCGTGACATTCATACCGAGGTATTACCGTACCGTGAAATTCTGATACCGTTACATCCCTAATATATATATATATATATATATATATGTGTGTATATATATATATATATATATATATATATATATATATATATATATATATATATATATATAGTGTATACACTGTAAAAATGCTGCGTTCTACACAATTCCTTTATGTTTTACCAACACAAATTGATTATATTAACTTGTTCGCTTTCACAGATTTAAGTGGATTGAACATATAACATTTAAGTTAATCCCTAATCCTTTAAATAAGTTTAAATACGTAGTTTAAACAAGCAGCAAAAGTTTATTCAATGCTTACACACAGATATTATGCAGAATTTTATATATATTCCTATCAGCCAATGTATTTTAGTCTCCACTCATGCACAGGTGCCCAGTATGTAAATACACAGCCACAGCAGGTGTGTTTACCCATAAACCCTTATACAGAGGGTCCGTATGGTCACACTCAAACACGCATGCAAGTTTCTCTTGACTTTGAGAGAATGAATCTACTCCAGAAATGCATGCATGGCGCATTCTTTATCTAAAGGTATGCCGGCTCTTATCTCTTCAGCTGCTTCGGTCTGATGTGTACGTTCCTTATGTTACTGATGTCTGCGAGGGATATACTTACACTTTGAACAGGCTGATGTTGTTGTAGTTTGCTTTGAGAGCGCTGATATCCTCTTCATCAGAGCTGTTGTAACTCTGACATCCCCCCATATCCAGAGCGCTTCTACCCATGAAAGTCCTCAGAAACACACACACCCCTCATTTATAAACACTGACACACTCGACACAGAATCACACACACAGCAGATCCATTTCGGTGCGCTGTCTCCATCTAAAAATACATCCAGTTTTGCAGTCTCCGTTTTTCTGGCGGGTGAATGTGTGTTTGTGTTCTGTCCACTGTTCTTTGTGTGTCTAATTTCTCTCTCTCTCTCTCTGTGTGTGTGTGTGTGTGTATGTGTGTGTGAAGCAGACAAACAGGTTCCACCAGGGCTGGAAAATATTTACACTCTCAAGGCCACGCCTTCTTTTTTTCCTGAGCTCCCGCCTCCCCTCATGCAAGGCCCCGCCCCTCTCGTGCCTCCAGGCAAACTTTCGCTTTCTGTGCTTCTTCACACTGGATTGGCTTCATTCCTGTTGGAGGAATTTATATTTCATTCCTTTGGTTTCACTGTCAAGGCAAAACTGATTGTGAATCTGGATTAGGACATTTAATTTAAAGATGATTGAATGTGGCTGCATTGGATACAGCTCTGGAAGAAATCAAAGCCATATTTAGAACATTTTGCCAATATCAGGGTGTCTGTGGGGTCTTAAAAAGTCTTACATTTTCAAAACCACATATTTTAGATTCCCTGAAATACTGTGTTGTAGGTCTTAAATAATTTTAAACAGGTCTTAAAGGGCACCTATGGTGAAAAATCTACTTTTCAAGCTGTTTGGACAGACATGTGTGTATATTTAGTGTATAGACCGTCATATTGGGGTGATATAAAGACACCCAGTGCTTTTTTTTTTTTCAATTTAACAACATAAAAACGGTGGACCAATTGAAGCAGTTTTCAGACCGACTGCAACTTGACGTAGGAGTGTGGTCCCCCCGCCCACCGAATTGATTGACAGCTTCGCATAGCATGTCCCGGTAGTCAGGTGTATGATTATATCAACAAGGCCAGACGTGCTCAAAGCAACCGGGAATAAAAGCTCTGTTCAGTTCGCTAGGATCATCCATCGTCATCAAATGCGATCAAGAGTAAGTTTCACATGTTTAAAATGTTTTAAAACAGTGCAAGTGTGTGTAACGAAGTACAGCGATTTACTTCAGCTTTACTTCATCAGCACAGCTGCGTGTCAGAACAATTATGAAAGAAGATGCTTCAATCCCGGTTTGTGGATGTTAAATCAGGTTTATTTTGTACATAAACATAACATATCCATACAGCAGTGGAGATTAGCCTGTATCCTGACACATTTGCATGAAAAACTGTCTGTCTGTGTGTGTGTGTGTGTGTTTATCTCTGTGTGTGCGCGCGTGAACTTTGTGACGATATTGCGTGTCACTCATCAATGCAACTGCACAGCAAATACTTATTGGTAAAGTTCTCACTGTAGTATTTCTCACAAACTCTGCACGAGACCTTTTTCCTTTAAGTCTGTCTGTTGTCTGACGCAGCTGAGGGAGGAGATTAAGGCACGCTGACAGGCACGTAGGAACAGTAGGCGGGGAGGACACGTCTTAAAGGCGCAGTATGACAAAACGACCCCCTACTGGAAAGATGTTTAAAACAGGATCTAGTAAAAGGTATAATGAAAAATCTGATGGGTGTTTTGAGCTGAAACTTTACATCAGGGGTCTCAAACTCGCGGCCCGCGGGCCATTTGCGGCCCTCAGTGCAATATTTTGTGGCCTGCGCCGACCGCTGTACACTGACAGAATCAGCGGAGCGGATTCTATCCGTACACGGCGGTCACTGGCATTCCCCTGCATTTTATATATATTATAGGTAGATACAGACTGGTACAGACTGATGTGACTGGAGTGGGGTGGGGGTGTTTTATTTATACATATATACGCCTTTTTTTTAGGTGAGGGAATGGAAGTTTTGAGTGAGTTCCCCCACTTTTTTCCCTAGGACTTCAATAAGTCAAAGTTCAGGTCTAGACTTAATGAGGATCATCTTCAAGCCATACTGAGGGTCTCAACTGCTTCCGCTCTAAAGCCAAACGTGGTTCAGATTTGTGAGAAGAAGCGCTGTCAAGTCTCTGGCAGCAAGAAGTAGGCAAAAGATGCCATGTTCAGAAGAACTGTTCATAATCTTCACTCAATGTTCTATTAATGTTCAGGACACTTCATGTTCAGAAGAAATAATTAAAACTGTTAATAATGACATTTGAGGACTTTTTTTTGTGAAATGCCTTATCCCAGCCTCACCCAGACTTTGCCTCCTGCGGCCCCCAGGTAAATTGAGTTTGAGATCCCTGCTTTACATACACATTCTAGAGACGCAAAAGACTTATATTAAATCTGAAAAAAGGGGTAACCTATGTGCGTTTTAAATTTTCCTCTGTCCAATCACCAGCAATCCATCTTATTTTTAAGTGTTTTTTGACTGCATTGGAGACAGCTCTAGAAGAAATCGAAGCAATTTTCAGAACATTTTGCCAATATCAGGGTGTCCGCGGGGTCTTAAAAAGTGTTCCAGTCTAGTTTTAAATCTTCCCATAGCACTGAGACAGCACTTATAAAAGTTTTTAATGACTTGTTGCTAGTCACTGACACAGGACATCGTGCCGTTCTTTTGCTCTTAGATCTTACAGCTGCTTTTGATACAGTAGACCATAAGATCTTAATTTCTCGTTTAGAGCACTGTATTGGTATTAAAGGTATTGTCTTGGAATGGTTTCAGTCATATTTATTTGACAGAAGCTTTTCTGTTCGCCTAGGGGAGTTTATGTCCTCGTCAGCACCTCTCTCATGTGGAGTACCCCAAGGCTCCATTCTTGGACCTATTTTGTTCTCCTTATATCTGCTTCCGTTAGGGTCTATTTGTAGAAAGTATTTCATTTCATCTTTAAGGTCAAATAAAGCTGTGCATCATCTGCATAAAGATGCTGGGTCCATCACACCAATGTTGGACTGTCCTAAAGACATTAAATATTGGCTGGCACTAAGTTTTTTAATGTGCAATGACAAAAAGACAGAAGTGGTGGTATTTGGGTCCAGGGGAACTTAGGATTGTTTGGATCTTGGTGTGTTAAATCCTTTTGTGAAACCGAATGTAAAAAACCAGGGTGTTATTATGGATAGTGGCTTCAAACTGGATAAACACACTGAATAAAGTGTTGCATGCAGAACTGTTTCAAACTATTCATTTACACATAACACAAATATTTATTTATTTGTGTTGAATTTAAACAAACAAATTAAATTGAATAATGCTCAACTTAATTTGTTTAAATTCAGCCCAAATAAATTGTTTACAACCACTTAACATGAAAAAAAATGAGTAAATCCAAGGAATCAACTTTGAATATTTTTTTTAGTGCAGATCAATTCTCAATTAAAGCTAGTTTTTTTCCAGTTGAGGCAATTATCCAAATTAAAGTTTTTTTTTTTTGTCTTTTAACGACTTTGAAAAGGTAAGGTTATACATATTTTTATCCCGACTCGGCTAGATTATCATAATGCCCTCTATGTGGGTAGCCATACCTCCATTACTCGTCTGCAGAGGGTGCAGAATGCTGCTGCTCGTTTGCTGACGAGGAGCACATTACACCTATACCGGCTTCTCTTCATTGGCTTCCTGTACAGCGTAGGATACATTTTAAGATTTTAGTTTTGGTGTTTAAATGCCTAAATGGACTAGCACTATGATATTTGTCCTCATTAATCCAATTGTACACTCCATCAAGGGCACTTAGATGTACTAATCAGCTACTTTTGGCTGTTCCACGAGCAAGGTTAAAAACCAGGGGGGACCGTGCCTTTGCAGTGGCGGCCCCCAAACTTTGGAATAATTAGCCTCCCCATGTTAGGCAGGCCGCAACCCGTTCTGTTTTTAAAACTAGTCTTAAAACCCACTTTTACTCTTTGGCTTTTAATACCATATGAGAGTCTTGTGTCTGTTGTATTTGTCCTTTGTTTTAGATGGTGTATATGTGTGTACAGCCTTTTGGTAAGCACTTATTTATAAAAAGTGCTTTAGAAATAAACTTTGACTTGTCTTGACTTTAAAATATATTGTTTTGAAGACTTTTTGTCGTTAAAAGGCCTTAAATTCACTGAACTGTTGTGTTGAAGGTCTTAAATCTTTTTAAACAGGTCTTAAATTTCCTTTGTCCAAGTTAAGCTACCCAATCGGGCCGAGATTCATCCAATCACCAACAATCCATCTCAAAACTTTTTTTTTTTTTTAAAGATTTTTATTGCAAAGAGATCCAGTAAATTCTCTGAATTAAAATCCCTAAACTTAATAACTGATGATAATAATAGAGCAACGTATCTCTTTACATGATCTTCCATTTATATAAAAACTATTTACAGAAGTAAGTGTGAGTGGACATGATGTTTATAAATAGGCTTAAACTGAAGGTGTTGTAGTAGAATTGCTTTAAGTTGAATAGGAGTTATACTCCAGCCATTTGGACCAAAAGCCAACAAATACTGGGTTTAGCCATGTAAAAGTCTTACATTTCATTCATAATGGTCTTAAATGGGAATTAAATTACATTTTAAATTTGACGATGAAACCTGCAGAAACTCTGAATAAGGGTTGTGTTTTGAGTAAAACAAATATATAAACAAATAGATTTTTAGTTTTATTAAAATAGTACATTTTCATTTTATTTTAAATAATTTATCAACAGTTTACAAAATGAAAAATAAAAAATGTTTTACTCAAACACATAAAGCAAAATATCCAGAGAAAGCGAACAATTGCATGCATGCACACACACATTTTTTTTTAGCACTTTGATTATTGTATACTGTGGGAACATGACATGCTAAAGTACATCAAAGTATGTGGACAAGTTTTTTTTTTTTTTGCATTATTTTATTAATTTCAAATTAAAATATAATTTACAGCTTTTATTTCCAGAAAACAACAAAAAAAAATTCAGAGAAAAAAATGAAAAAAATTTTTTTTGTTTATTAGTAATTGATGATCAGAAAAACTTTAAAAAAAAAATTTTTATGTGATAAAAATAAATAAATAAATAAAAATCAGGATTATTCCACCAAACGAGAGATGGCACATTATTAATATTTTATGCCAAAAAAATAAATAACGTTTTTAAAATAAAATAAATTATCAGTTTTTTACAGAATAAAACAAACAGAAATGTTTTACATTTCCACATACATGTATTTCAGTCATTATTTTGGTCTGTTTTCACCACTTTGATCACTGTATATGAAATGTTTAATGAAGCACTTGCTCTGATATGCAAAAGAAAACAAAAGTATGTGGACAACTTACATTTCCTTACATAATTTCACACAGTTTATTCCCAAGCTGTGCTTAGTCAGGTATAATAATTTCTGTTAATAAATAAATAAATGTGTTTGTCATTTCTTCCACAAAACAACTGAATAAAATCCCTATTGAAAGGAATTAAAATAAATAGTTTGACTATATGCAATTCAAACAGCACTTGAGTTCAGAAAATAAAAGTGTCAAATGTTAAATGCGTTTATACATATTTTTTTATGATGGCTAAACACTGTGTTAGTGCACACTTAACTACTTTTCTGTTTTATTAATTTCGCATGGTCTAAACACACAAACACAGGACACAGAACCCCATTTGAAATATTTATTGGTTTTATATCTGATTTTAAAGCCTAACTTTGACAACAGATAACAGGTACAGTATTGCATTATACCAAAAATAAAACGGTAGGAAAAGAAAACCACCAGCATCAATGTACATTAAAAAGGGCATTTGACCAAATGACAACAGACCTGTGATCCAGTTTCACACCATGGACGGATGCTTGAGGCAGAACATGCCACAGAAATACTGTACCAGGTCATAACGTACTTACAGTATGTGTTTGTGTTTTTAGGTACATGTACACATACAGGAAAATAACCCAACAACATGAACATAGACTTCACATCGCAGGTTCTGATGCATCTATTATTCAGCTAAAAAAATCTCCATGGGGAAATATGAAACTTGAAAAGTGCTGACTAAAATTAGATTAGTTTCATTACGTTGGATTAATTGTTACATCACAGTTTTGATCAAATATTCTTCTCTCCTGCTAATGTGCGGACAAACGTTGACTATTATTAAAGTGATAAATGAAATTAAAATGGTCGCTTTCATGTCATTCCAGACCTAGAAGAGTTTATGTAACTCAAAATGTTTTAATTAAACACTTCTATCCTAGCAAATCAGGATTAAGAGATCGGAAACAAAATTAACCCTTGTGCACTGTTTAACTGACTACCCTTTCGTCATGTAAGTGGCAGTTTTTGCCCAATTGACTTCCATAATAACCACATTATTTTGATTGCAAAGACATGACAACACAGTGCTGTGCAATAAATCGAAAATCCGATTTTGATTTTGGCTTCTAACGATTATAAAAAACCATTATTCGAGATAAACGATTATTAAATTAGTTACCGCCCCCTTTCCAGTTGTAAACATCTGTTGTTTTTTAAAAGCGCGAACTAAACTGCAGGCTCTGTGTGTGTGTGTGTGTGTGTGTGTGTGTGTGTGGGGTTGTGTGTGTATGTGTGTGTGGTTGTGTATGTGTGTGGTTGTGTGTGTGTGTGTGGTTGTGTGTGTGTGTGGTTGTGTGTGGTTGTGTGTGTGTGTGTGTGGTTGTGTGTGTGTGTGTGTGTGTGTGTGTGTTTGGCTGTGTGTGTGTGTGTGTGTGTGTGTGTGTGTGGTTGTGTGTGTGCTTTTGTTTGTTTGTTTGTGTGTGTGTGTGTGTGTGTGGTTGTGTGTGGTTGGTTGTGTGTGTGTGTGTGGTTGTGTGTGTGTGTGTGTGTGTGTGTGTGTGTTTGGCTGTGTGTGTGTGTGTGTGTGTGTGGTTGTGTGTGTGTGTGTGTGTGTGTGTGGTTGTGTGTGTGTGTGTGGTTGTGTGTGTGCTTTTGTTTGTTTGTTTGTTTGTTTGTGTGTGTGTGTGTGTGTGTGTGTGTGGTTGAGTGTGTGCTTTTGTTTGTTTGTGTGTGTGTGTGTGTGTGTGTGTGTGTGTGTGTGGTTGTGTGTGTGTGGTTGAGTGTGTGCTTTTGTTTGTTTGTGTGTGTGTGTGTGTGTGTGTGTGTGTGTGGTCAGTGAGGTGACTCTTCACAGAGCTAACCGCTGAGCCACCGTGCTGCCCATAAAATCCATAAAAAAGTGCTGTTAACCCTTGACTAGCAATTTATGAATGGTCAAGAAACATTTTCAGCTTAAAATGTACGTAAATTAACAGCACATTTCTATTTATATCCCTTTTGCATCTCTCCAAAACCCTTATCTCTTTACAAACATTTTGAAGCGTTTGACTTTTCAAATGGAGGGATACAAATCTGTTCACATCTTATTTAAAATGTAAAATGTCTTCATTTGTGATCAGAAGATGAACACGCTTCTTGTAGGTTTGGAATGAGAGAGCAAATGATGACAGTTTTCATTTCAAGGTGAAACAAACCCATAATGTTTTCCTAAAGTAAGAGAAGAAAAACCTGGCTAACCAATGCAGAACATTCTGTTAACGTTCTTGGAACCAGAAACTAGTTTTGGGCACTGAAATTGTATAACCTGCACTCAAAAAATGACTTTTGCTGCTTGTTTAAACCACGCATTCAAAATGGGTTGAAACTAGGGCTGGGCCGATCAACGATATCATATCGAATCGCATAGAGAATGTCAATCACGATGACTAGCTTAGGACATTTTTACTTGATTTTGATCTAAGAGCCAATCACACAGCAGAAATCTGTCAAAATCTGAGTAATCTAATCTGTTTTTGTTAATAAACAATATTTAGTAAACGTTATTTAATGAATGCTCTAATTTTTGTAGCTTTGATCATTGTTGGCACACTCTTTTAATGCTGGAAGCATTAACAGTGTATGTCGGAATTTATACAACAGTTCTCGAATCTGATTGGCTGATAGCCGTGCGATTTTTCTGCAGCCTCAAACGTCTGTATTACTCCGTCCACAACAGATCAATAAACTCACTGCAGTTTGACAAATATCGCAGCTGTTGGACAACATCATGTACTTTTGAGGCTTTTTTAGGTGAGAATGTAGTTGTTTAGATTGCAACTATTTAAAATAGTGCCTATTTAAAATATTTATAATTTCTGAGATGCAGCACATCGTCATCCATCAGCCTGTCATACTGAGCAGAGCAGACGGTTGACGCTTCGCCACAAGATGTCGACAAGAGACCGCACAATTAGTTATTAGATGAGAAAAACTTGTCAATTTCAAACTACAGCAGATCAAATCAGGTAAGTGTCATTCTAAGTTGATGTGTCTCTTTTTTGTATGTTGTAGTGCTGTATTTATACCATAATAATGTGGTAGTGTTTGCTTTGCTCTGGCTTTTTCGGGGTTAATTATTGTGATCTCTTGATTACAACAGAGAAATACTGGGAAATCTCTGTAGACTGATGGCATTTCCTGCCGTTCAGCCTTATAATCTTTAAATGTAAGCAAGATCACGTGTTTTTTGTCATCACTTTAGACCAGTGGTTCTCAAACTGTGGTACGTGTACCACTAGTGGTACGCGGACTTCCTTGTAGTGGTACACGGAGGAATGAAATATGTCATGTACATGCTACATATATTTCAAAATGTATATATGTATATATAAACATATATTTTAAACTGTGCAGAGTTGTAGCTGCTGTACTTGGCTACTGTATTTCAATACTGCTCATTATGGTGGTACTTGGAGAGACAATTTTTTTCTGAGGTGGTACTTGATGAAAAAAGTTTGAGAACCGCTGCTTTAGATATTACGCTAGAGAATCATTCAAATACTAGCGCTAAAGTGACGGTGGAGTAGTATCGGTTTCTGCTGTTCTGACGTCAGCTGCATGAATGGAGTTCCTCGTAAAAAAGGATTTTTAGACTCTGTGTTTGATTGTCTTCCTAATATATACGATTTTGCCGTTAAACTGTTGTATAAGCCTAATATCACACTCGTAGCAGTGCGATATGGCTGTATATCATCACTGGTGAGACACTAAGGAAACAATGCACACTTCCCAGCAGTGCCAATTTACAGCCATATGGCAGTGCTACTCCTGTGATGTTGCTCATATATATCGATATAGTTGAATATGGAAAATAATGATCAAGACAGCAGTTTTGCCATATCAACCCAGCCCTAGTTGAAACAACACAATTCTTAATTTTTTTTGGGGGGGGGGGGGCAACTTAATTGTTTTATGTTCAATCTACTTAAACTTGTAAATATGATTAAGTTGACTTGAGCAATTTGTGTTGGAGCAACATTGTACAGTGTGGGAACCAACCCTTTAACAGCAGCAAAACTGGCTAAATTGATATATTTGACATGTCAACTAAACATGTTAGTTCAGCTAATGACAGAAATGCTTGGAATAGATTACATAGGAAAAGCTATTCATAAAAAGCCGTATACATGTGGAAGACAAGATCAATGGGAGTTACCTTTTACTTCTAGTAAAGACCGCTCTGCTAATCCACTACTACTGTAAGTGGCAGTTTGTAAGTGCTGAATTGAATGAACCATCTGAAATGACATTTATAAATCTCCATGAGGAGAGAATACAACCCTGATATCCTGAATGGGGAAAGACGGACGGAATATTTGGCAAAAAAAAAAAGATAATAAACTTATAAAAGTATGAATTACATTCCAGCACAGAGACTGATCAATCGATATTTCCCGCGTCTTGCTTATATACGCTCACTAATACGACACACTCGCGCTCCAAAAAAAAAAAAAAAAAACACAACTAACTGTAAACTCAACCACGCACAAAAACTGGCTCTCGCTTTCATCATCGTACCGCCACGAACATTTGCATTTGGTATCAAAATCAAGTTTTTAAAAGTGCAAAACAAATTGGAAACACACCGAGCCTCTAATACACACACACAACACTCGCTCTCACAAACAGCTTGTGTGCACATTTCGTCAAAGCTACATTTCTAATAAAAAAAAAGGAAATGAATCCCAAAATAAGTACAGTTATTGCTATCGCTCTAGCTTCAAACGGACACTGCAGCTCTCTAGTGTTTCGCTAGTAATTAGTCATAAAAAATATAATATATCGTAAAGAACACACGAGTATTACTAAGACCTGACAGTGATATAGGAAGATGTGACTAAAGATATTTGTGCACACAATAAACATACTGATGTGTCCATTCTCTGATTTGAAGGCACACAAAACGCACCCTCGGTTCCTCTTACTCACACACACACGACACACAACATTCACCTGAGAGTTCATTCTGATATCAAGCACACAGACAAGAACAAGATTTAAAGGGATAGTTCACACAAAAAGCATGATTCTAGCAATGCCAACATGGTGGGTTCAATTCACTGATTCCCTGATAACTCTGCACCTTCAATGTAAGTGTAAGCCGCTTTGGATCAAATTCCTACCAAATGCCTAAACATTTAAATTCCCAGTCCCTTTAGGAAGTTTTAAAACAAGCTTGCATAGGGAAATGATTTCTAAATGAATTGGCGCTTCTGAACAAATCATTTGAGTCAGTGATTCAATTAACAATTCTTAATGAGTCACCTGTATAATTTCTAAATGAATCAGTGCTCCCAAACAATTTTTCCGTGATTCAAATCATGCGAGTCAATGATTCATTCATAAGGAGTCATTTGTATAATTTTTTAAATAAATCAGAGCTGCTGAAATGTTTTTCCATGATTCATTCTTTTCAGTGATTCAAATCACATGAGTCAATGATTCAATAAACCATTCATAAAGATTTACTTGTTTAATTTCTAAACGAATCAGTGCTCCTGAACAAATCACGAGTCAATTATTCAATCAACTATTCATAAAGAAAGTAACATATCATTTTAAATGATTTTATATCTTATATAATATAAATAATTTTACATTTTAAATTTTCAAACCATTTCAAACAATCGCTTCTGAACAAGCCATTTAAGTCTATGACTCAATGAACCATTCATAAGGAGTCACTTGTATAAATTCTAAATGAATCAGTGTTCCTGAACAAATCACGTCAGTCAATGATTCAATGAATAATTAATAAAAAGACTCACTTGTATAATTTCTAAACGAATCAGCACTCCCAAACAAATTATGTCAGTCAATGATTTAATAAATGATTCATTAAGAGTCACTTGTATAATTTTTAAACGAATCAGCATTCCCAAACAAAACACATCAGTCAATGATTCAATGAACCATTCATAAAGACTCACTTGTATAAATTCTAAACGACTCAGTGCTTCTAAAAAATCTTTTGATTCAGTGATTCAATGATCCATTCATAAAGTCACTTGTTTCATTTCTAAATGAATCAGCACACCTGAACAAATCATTTGAGCCAATGATTTAATGATCCATTTATAGAGTCATCCATTTCACTTCTAAATGAATAAGCGCTCACGAACAATTCACATCAGTAAATGAGTCAATGAATCAATCATAAAGAGACTCACTTGTATAATTTCTAATTAAATCAGCGCTCTTAAACAAATCATTTGGTTCAATGAACCATTGATAAAGAGTCACTTGTATGATTTTAAATGAATCCGCGCTCTCAAACGAATCACATGAGTCAATGTTTTAATGAACTATTCAAAAAAGTCACTTGTATGATTTCTAAATGAATCAGTGCTCCTGAACAAATCATTTGAGTCAATTATTCAATGATCCATTCATAAAGGCAGTAATTTGTTTTATTTCTAAATGAATCAGCTCTCATTAACAAATCATTTCAGTCTGATTCAATGATCCCTATATTAAGTCACTTGGTTTGACTCAAATGATTTATAGAAAGCAGCTGATTGACTTAGACAGAATGATTTAATGATTCCTTCATGAAAATGTCTGTTTCCAAAATAAATCAACTGGTTTCAACAAATCAGGAGTCATAGTTTAACATTCATATACACATACAGTTGTTACTAGAAAAAAATCCCTAAATTGCTGAAATATGTTAATTTTTTTGTCCTAATCACACATATTACAGCTGATTTAATACAAAATGTTCTTATCTTTTATTGTAAACTAATGCCAATTACAGTGTAACAGTACTGACAAAGGAAAAATGTCACTTATTTTGGTCCATTTTTAGAAATTATGAAATTTACGGTCATTTTTCCCTTTTTTGGAAGCCATTTCCTTGTATAAAATATTGTTGAGTAAACATTTTGGGTGAGCTATCCCTTTAAAACAAACATCCTACAACAGCAACAAGAAGAAAAAAAATAACCACTGAGACCTGCTCCCAAATATTTTTGCTCATTTAAATATGTTTATGAATGATGGGCGGAGCTTGAAAAGATAAATGCTGTGGAAACGCAAGTGCAAACAAATCAGTACTGAAATCATGTCAGTACCAGGCCCAAAGGCTACAGCAAACAGAGATATTGATCAAAACACACACACACACACACGCGCTCGCTCGCTCACTCAGACTTGATCTCCTGCCTCGTTCAAACTGGTAAATACTGCTTCAGAAACATAAAAAAACAACACTATAAATCAAGCCTTTGGATGATGCATATGTGAGAATTGACCTGTGGGCGTTGATGTGAAGTTTAGTGTTTCCAACAGTGACTATGTGTCTTCATCAGGGAAGACGGAGATCACGTAGAGTATCGCTCATGCTCAAATCAAAAACACACACAGAGAGGAGTCGTGTCTGTCAACGGGAAAGCCACAGCCTTTAGCATTTCACAGGTGGAGCAACAGCTGTCATGAAGATGGAGGAGAATGAGGTTACATCGGGCCATTACTACTGGAGTCGCCCCTGCAAAACAAGACAGACCATGCAACATATTTAGAGATTTTAAAAGCAATATACACTTACCCTTGTTTAAAACATATACAAGTTTCTTTCTGGCACCAATTGACTTCCATAAAATTTTTATTCCTAATGTTTGTAGCTGGCATCAATTGACTTCCATAGTATTTTCCTTAATGTTTGTAGCTGGCATCAAACGACTTCTATAGCATTTTGCCTAATGTTTGCAGCTGGCATCAACTGACTTCCATAGCATTTTGCCTAATGTTTGTATCTGGCATCAATTGACATCCATAGTCATTTTCCCTAATGTTTGTAGCTGGCATCAATTGACTTCCATATTATTTCCCCTAATGTTTGTAGCTGGCATCAATTGACTTCCATATTATTTTCCCTAATGTTTGCAGCTGGCATCAATTGACTTTCATAGTATTTTCCCTAATGGTTGTAGCTGGCATCAATTGACTTCCATATTATTTCCCCTAATGTTTGTAGCTGGCATCAATTGACTTCCATAATCATTTCCCCTAATGTTTGTAGCTGGCATCAATTGACTTCCATAATCATTTCCCCTAATGTTTGTAGCTGGCATCAATTGACTTCCATAGTCATTTTCCCTAATGTTTGTAGCTGGCATCAATTGACTTCCATATTATTTTCCCTAATGTTTACAGCTGGCATCAATTGACTTCCATAGTATTTTCCCTAAAGGTTGTAGCTGGCATCAATTGACTTCCATAATCATTTCCCCTAATGTTTGTAGCTGGCATCAATTGACTTCCATAGTCATTTTCCCTAATGTTTGTAGCTGGCATCAATTGACTTCCATAGTCATTTTCCCTAATGCTTGTAGCTGGCATCAATTGACTTCCATAGTATTTTCCCTAAAGTTTGCAGCTGGCATCAATTGACTTCCATAGTCATTTTCCCTAATGTTTGTAGCTGGCATCAATTGACTTCCATAGTCATTTTCCCCAATGCTTGTAGTTGGCACCAACTGACTTCCATAGTATTTTCCCCAATGCTTGTAGCTGGCATCAATTGACTTCCATAATCATTTTCCCTAATGTTTGTAGCTGGCATCAATTGACTTCCATAGTATTTTTATTCCTAATGCTTGTAGTTTGCGGCAATTGACTTCCATATTATTTTTCCTAAGGCTTGTAGCTGGCATCAATTGACTTCCATAGTATTTTCCCTAATGTTTGCAGCTGGCATCAATTGACTTCCATAGTTGTTTATGGATCTGTATCGGTCAATATTCAGAATTTTCGTATCGGGATTGGATCTGTATCGGTCTTTACACAGAATTTTGATATCGTATCTAAAAAAATGGTATTGGTGCATCCCTACTTTCCATGCATTTTTAGATGCAATAAGTAAACGGCCTCATAAAGGTTTAAAAACTCAATGAGAGAGAGGAAATGATGAGGACATTTACATTTTTGGTTGAACTATCTCTTTAAGATTTCTGTGGCTTAATGTAACGTAAACAGTGTCTCTTACATTCTTCAGGATGAATATAATGAGCTTGTAATCCTACAAACTCAAAAATATGTCTCACAGATATTAATACCCCAGGTTTTCTTTCAAACATATGTCCAGCAAGCTCCTGTGGTAAAACACTCACTTCTTCTCCTTGGGCGACTGAGTACCAGTGATGGGCATCGCCATGGTTCCTGTTGCTATGACATCTGTTGTCATGCCACTTGTTGCTTTGGCATTAATGTCACTGGAAGACAGTGGAAGAAAGCATTAAGGACATCACAGTCCTTAAAACACTTTCTGAGACGTCTGGAGTCAAAGCAGCAGTTTTTACTGATAATAATTATTGATTATCATAATAATAACTACTATCTATCTGCAAAAATGTATTCATGCTCAAATGGGTATGTAAATTGTGTATAAGAGTGCTTTATTGTTGTTATTAGTATTGTTGTTATTATCTATAGAAACAAGAACGATTTATACAAATTAAAGGTGCTGTGTGTAAGTTTTTGACTTTTGATGATTTTTAAAAAACATGCTGAATGAACAAGCTTGTTCATCCTAAAAACAATGCTGAAGTCAGATATTCGGCTTTGAAAATGTGGTTTCCGTGCCTTAACAGCTGTTTTTGTTTGGTTCATTTAACCCGCCCAATGCCACTTTATGCCTGCATGATTTTAGCCCTGATTTTGACTCGCCGACAGATTTTGAGAAATCACCGACAAATGCATGAATCACAGGCAAATTGGTGCTCGTGCACGTGAGTGACAATCACACAGTTTGAACTATCAACGACCGCCTACAGCCAATGAGAGAGCAGCACCAGAAAGAGTGTACCAGCTGGCCAGCGGGAGGCGGGGGGAGAAGTTAAAAGCGCTCATTTTCGGTTTATTTGGACCCAAGAAATGAAGAAAAAAGTCCCTAGTGGAGGTTTGACAGGAGCACCCGTGTCTGTTTGACGTTTCATACAGAAAGTTAAAAAGGAAAGTTGAAGAGAAATGGCTAATTCCCTTTAAACCCAGGTGAGCAAATTTGTAAATTTTCTTCCCCATTTAAGGCTTCTTTCTGGTTATGTAGTTAATAACAAAAGATATACGACTTGTTTTTGGCGGTGAGACGTAATTTGGACGAAGTTGTTGGCAATTCTTCCTATTGTAAAGTCATGCAATGTGAAAGCCCCTGTCGCCGATTTGGTAAAGTAAACAAAGCAGCGACAAAACGCTAGCTCAGATAGTCATGCATTGTGAAAACATCTGAACTCGGCATTAGCCAATTATATTTCAGCACCCCGGTTGTCTTTCATTCAGTCAGTCATGAAGGCTCTCAAAGCATGCACCTGTGACCGAAATGCGACCTCTGGTGGACAGTAGCAGCCTCCGAAATGAGACTCAGGGTGCTTTCACACTAGCACTTTTGGTCCACACCCGGGTTCATTTGACGTCATTGTACGGTACGTTTAGCTAGTGTGAACGTGTCTTCTAAACTCGGGGTTCTAAACCAGTGAACCGTACCCGAGTCCGCCTGAAAGAGGTGTTCTGGGGTATGGTTCATGCGAACTCTGGTACGCTTCACTTCTGATGTAAATGCAATCATACCAAATAACGGAAGTGAGCCGCCGAGTGTACAACAAACTATCGTTTTCATAACGTTCATTCGTTCGTGTGTGAGCGTGTGTCACGTATTGTACCTTGGTGACAAATGGAACTGAGCCAGGGCAAACACATTGATACACAGTGCTTGTCTCCTCCAAAAACAGCTTCTGCAGATCGTGGGATGTTCTGAATGTTTATAATATTTTTGCGGCAGATGGACACGAGTCGCTTTCTGTATGTCCAAAACCAAAAGCTTTAGTAAAAGCAAAATGACTGTGATGTGCGGACGTCTTTCCATTTCGGCACTTTCGTGACCGTCACCTAGCAACAGCCGTAAACAAAACAGCAGCTCAATGACACAAGCGTACTGGGCTTCCGAAGGAAAAAAGACAGTGTGAACAGAAAACAACCGAGAAGGTGGCAAGGGAGGACAATCGAACTTAGGTACGGTTCAGGCAATTGAACCAAGTGTGAAAGCACCCTCAAATTCAGAGTTCCACATCAGGTTATTAATTAGCAAATAACATAACTATTACAAATGTAAACATTAGGTGAGCATGTTACATTGACACCCGTGTCCTAACAACACACTTTGTGACTAGATACGCAGGGATGAGCAATTTGGCTGTTTGCACCAGACGAAACACGACAGAAGTTTAATTACAGGGATTCAGAAGCACAGAATATGCTCTCACTCATGAATGGTCAGGTTTATAATCTGTTTAATACATATTAAACCTCTTTAACATTATTAAATGTACACGCTAAATCATTCATCGGTGATCATTGTCAAAGTTTTCTGTTGTTCACCTGTAAAAAGCAGAAGCCGATTCTAATATATCACTTCGACATGTTGGTGAGGACAAAGACTCCTTTTAATATTGAAAATATACCTTCTATCGGGTGCCGTTGCTTTTATTTTGAACACGGTTTAAATCGCTCGCTCCTGTCAAGGGATGCACCGATCCCGATTCTTGAATCGGATATCGATTCAATACCTCATATTTTTGCTGGATCCAGCCAGCTGATATCGATCCAAATCCGATCTTGTGTGTGTTCTCTATTTATAAGCCAACTAAGCCACGAAGGTAGCCTATTATAAGTCACCAAAAAGTTGCCAATGGCTACAACATCCTAAATGTTCCGAAGCCATAGTTTAATGTGAAATGCAGTTGAATATTTAAGTGGTTAAATTCATGTTCATTTCAACACTTCCCGTCGCTGCACCTGTCCTTCATTCTCTATTCATTCACAATTCCAGCTGCATGTCGCGTTCATGACAACACGAAAATCTTTCTCCAAGATTATTTGTTCCTATTAATGCAAGTAATCGGTGGAGAAATGCATTTTGTTTTGTATTAAATGGGTTCATGTTGACCTGCAACAAGGAGTTCATTGCTGTTTCTAAATCACGTTGCGCTGTGTCTGTTAGATCAGCAGATCGCATTCGCAACACTGGAGTAGAGAGGTTTGTTACCTGCTCTTCACACACAAAGTAGGCCTACCTGAAATTTTAAATTAGAAAAGGCTCAATAATACATTGGACAGATTCCAACGCACTGATTTCTTCCCTTTGTGCTGCTCAGTTTTGGTGCTGAAGCATGTTGACCTTGATTTAAACTTTCTCTGTCTCACTCTCGATGAGATTTGGCGAGGGATTATCAAGTAAAACTGGCCTCAGACAGTTGGGTTTAGTCTGCATCAAACCTGCAGGAAAATATCAATCTAAAAGACTGATTATTTTCCCATCGATTAGGGTCAGTATTTGTAGCCTTTTACAAATTTTAAAGAAAAATCTTACTATTGAAACAGGAAACAAGCTGGACCACAACAGATCAATGTCATAACGAATGCTCAAATAATGTAGCCTAGTTTACAGCAAGCATCATGTTTTTAGTTAGATTGTGTCGTCTGTCATATACGGTAGGCCTATAGCTCAGTTATTTTTACTGAAGCAGATATATTATTTGAGTTTAGCACCAGTGCTATAGAAACTGTATTATGCTTAAAAAAAAAAAAAAGAAAACAGCATAGTATCTGGATCAGATCTGTATCGGTCGATGATCAGAATTTTGGTATTGAGATCAGATCGAATCCAAAAAAATGGTATCGGTGTATCCCTACCCCTGTCCTCAATCTGGCAACTTGTGCTTGCGTTTGTTTTGATCCAGGAACAAAATACCTAATTCAACCACTGGATGTCATACTTACATACTGCACCTTTAACATTTACAATTTATAATTAGTAGTAATAGTAATAAATAATAGCGGTAAATCAATATAACGATAATGGTTTGAAGTGGAATAAAATTATTATTAGTAATAGTAGTAATACAACTACTATTAATAATAATAATAATAATAATAATGAAATAATAATAATGCTTCAAAGCAATTTTTTTACAATACAAGTATTATAACTACTGACACTTCTAATAACTGTATTATACTAAATTTTTGAACAACAGTAAGTGTAAATGACAATAATAACATTGATGATAATATTAATCATAATAACAACAAGAATTTCTTAAAGTAATTAATACTAATAATAATTATAACAGTAAAAATAAATTAGTTTCAAACTACTAATGCTAACAATAATAATAATAATCATCATATTTAAATGAATAGCAGTAGTATTAACAATAATGTTATATTTTAATATTAAATAATTATTTATTTATTTACTGTTATATTTATTAGTAGCATTACTATTAGCACTGCCTTTAAATTGATCTATTTTAAAATATTAATAATAATGTTTAAAAGTAAAATAAAAAAATGGTAATTCCTACAAATAATATTAAATAATATATCACTTTTAAACAACAATAGATAACTATATAATTACAATTATTCCTAATAGTACAATACAATATTATTATTGGCTATAACGGACCATAAAAAAAATGCACAAATGTGTGTTTGTAATGTATTATTGTGTGCTTACCTGCTGATGGCTGCTTTCTCATGTTTTGCTTCCGCTTTAAGTTTGCCGCTGCTCTCAGTAATGATGCTGGATTTTTCCTCCTCTTCCTCACTGTCTGATCCACTGGAGCTGCTGTCAGACGCTACTAGTGGAGCTTTCCTCGCTCCACACACACTCCACACACACGCCGACGAGCCCTTCACTGACACACACAAACATACAATACTAAAGATAACAATAACAATATTTTGAAGTTTAAAAATGCATTGCTGTGTGCATCCAATTACTAACAAATACCACTTATTTATTTACATGAAATTGTCATTAATAACACTAAGAAAATTTAAGGCGAATTACAAGAGTGTTCATAGTAAGCTGTGTTTACATCATTGTAGTTACAAAAAAACTAGCCTAGAGCACCATCTGCTGCTAAAAACTAGCCTAGAGGGCTGTCTGCTGTTTAAAACCTATCCTAGAGTGCCGTCTGCTGGTAAAAACAAGCTTAGAATGCTGTCTGTTGTTTAAAACCTAGACAAGAGCGCTGTCTGCTGGTAAAAATCTAGCCTAAAGCGCCATCTGCTGCTTAAAACCTAGCCAAAAGTGCCATCTGCTGGTAAAAACGAGCCTAGAGCACCGTCTGCTGCTTAAAACCTAGCCTAGAGTCCTGTCTGCTGTATAAAACTAGCCTAGAGTGCCGTCTGCTGTTTCAAAACTAGCCTAAAGTGCTATCTACTCTACAAAACTAGCATAGAGCGCTATCTACTGTCAAAAACTAGCCTAAAGCGCTGTCTGTTGTTCAAAACTAGCAAAGAGTGCCATCTGCTGTTTAAAAACTAGCCAAGAGCGCCATCTGCTGTTCAAAACTAGCCATGAGCACCATCTGCTGTTTAAAAACTAGCCAAGAGCACCATCTGCTGTTTAAAAACTAGCCAAGAGCGCCATCTGCTGTTTAAAAACTAGCCAAGAGCACCATCTGCTGTTTAAAAACTAGCTAAGAGCACCATCTGCTGTTTAAAAACTAGCCAAGAGCGCCATCTGCTGTTTAAAAACTAGCCAAGAGCGCCATCTGATGTTTAAAAACTAGTCAAGAGCACCATCTGCTGTTCAAAACTAGCCAAAGCACCATCTGCTGTTTAAAAACTAGCCAAGAGCACCATCTGCTGTTTAAAAACTAGCCAAGAGCGCCATCTGCTGTTTAAAAACTAGCTAAGAGCACCATCTGCTGTTTAAAAACTAGCCAAGAGCGCCATCTGCTGTTTAAAAACTAGCCAAGAGCCCCATCTGCTGTTTAAAAACTAGCCAAGAGCACCATCTGATGTTTAAAAACTAGCCAAGAGCACCATCTGATGTTTAAAAACTAGCCAAGAGCGCCATCTGATGTTTAAAAACTAGCCAAAGCACCATCTGCTGTTTAAAAACTAGCCAAGAGCGCCATCTGCTGTTTAAAAACTAGCTAAGAGCACCATCTGATGTTTAAAAACTAGCCAAGAGAGCCATCTGCTGTTTAAAAACTAGCCAATAGTGCCATCGGCTGGGTAAAAACTAGCCAAGAGCGCCATCAGCTATTCAAAACTAGTAACGCTTCAATACCATGAATATACTATAACAGAAACGTCTATAAAGCACTTACATTCTTCAGTCTCGCTCTGTTTGTTGGGATTTTCTGGGTTGGCAGGTGAACTGCATCTGGGTCCTGCATCTGAACTGCAGACACAAGAGCATTCAGCACAGAGTGACGCAAGTAGACAAGGTCAGCTCAAGCACACAACATTTGGACTTCCTTGATTGTCCAGAAGTGGAAATTTGTCTTTGGCACACTCTCATGCTAATTCTCCAAACACAGAAATGAGTTGACACTCAGCTCCTCCTCACCAGCAGAAGGGCTGGAAGTCTCCAAAAGTGGCCCAGCCTTTGTCCTCGGTCTGGCTGAGCTGAGAGTCAGAGCCGGAGCCAGAGCCACCCCACACACTGGAGCCCGTGTCCATCGCTATACTGGCCAGATCACGACAGCTGAAGTCATCCTCAAAACTCGCGATCCAGCCAGGACCTGATGCAGGACAGTGAAGAGTAATTCCATAGAGTGAATTCACTTTTTACCAGACAAAATTATTTATACCCCTGGCAAATTCTGACATAAAGTTTTTGTTCAAATGTAAATAAAGCTGAGTTTGTTTCCCACAATGATGCCTCTTATACATCCTCTAATCATTTTTTGGGAGAAGCCAGAGTCATTTCCAGTCTAAAAAAAACTTTAAGTCAAAATTTGCCAGCAGTATCAATATTTTTGTGCTTGGCTACATGTGAAATGTGTAAACAATAGTGACAGTGTAAATAAATAATGTAACGTTTGTGAGTTGTAAGCGTACTCTGCGGATCACTCAGCTGCTTCTCCGCCTCCTGGGACTTTTTTTCCTCTGGATTTGGTTTGATCTCTGGGAACCACTCCATGTCAGGAGAGCCCAGGCGCTTACGAGAGCCGGCGTCTGCCTCGCTCTTCTGAGGGTTCGTCACCAGGCCAAACCTGCAGAAATATAAAGCACAAACAATCCTATGATATTCAACATAATATAAAAGGTGGACTCTTTAAAGAAAGAACACTTTGATATATATATATATTTTTTTTTTGTTGGATGTTTGGCCATTAGAGTTGTAACAATACATGTATTCAAACAGAACAGTCACGGTTCGGTTCGCTCGACAACCAATGCAGTCAGTCAAGATGTGCCAATCACAGGAGTTAGACAAAAAATAAAAATAAAAAAAATCACAGCAGTGCAACAACTTAGCAGCTATTCACAAGGAACACCTCTTTGTGGTTGAAAATGCAAGACGCAGCACTCAGAAATGCTTCGCCATGTTGCTGTTGTCATGCCAGCTTGCTACCATAAATAGAAGCTTGCAATGCTAGTCCCACCTCCGAGTTCTTCTGATTGGTCCACTACTCTAGAACTGACATTAATGAGCGCTGCTGTGTGTAAAAGCTAAAAGCTTGTATCATCACACAGCTTGTAAAATCGCTGTGCTTATGCATGAGGTGCTGCAAAATACCACAGACCAGGGGTCACCAAACTTGTTCCTGGAAGGCCGGTGTCCTGCAGGTTTTAGCTCCAACCCTAATCAAACACACCTGAACAAGCTAATCAAGCTCTTACTAGGTATACTTGAAACATCCAGGCAGGTGTGTTGAGGCAAGTTGGAGCCAAACCCTGCAGGGCACCAGACCTCCAGGAACGAGATTGGTGACCCCTGCCACGGACAAAGTGTCCGTTAGGTCAGACTTGAATGCTTTGTGAACACAATTAAGTGCCATATTATCTAATAATTGTAACCGTACGTTCACACCGAAATCGGCGAGAGCGTCAAAGTAGCCAGAAGTCATTCATTTTCAATGAGAGTCGGCGGCGATAAGCGACAAGGAGCAGCGCGGCGCGTCTTTATCGGTGTGGGCGTCAAGAAGAGTTGAAATCAAGTCAACTCTATGGTAATGAGCTATGACGCGGTTCGGCGACAACCAATCAGAATGAAGAAGTCCACCGCTTGAGAGCAGTTCAGAGAACACAGACCTGTGAACTTTAGTTCCGACCACAGTTGTTCCCAAGGGTTTAATTATTGTAGTCGCCGGATATTCAACTATTTACAATGTTTTCTTACAGGAACATACATTACTGGCGAGTTACTGATGTGCAATAATGTTAAATATACTTATCTTTAAAAAAGCGTGAATCTCATGCGACAGTACAAAACAGTATTGCTGCTTCAGGATATTTCAGACACATGGACACATTGGATGTATAAGTGGAGCAAAGCCACACCACATGCAACTTGATCTTCCATTATTAAATGGGTTTGATGAGAAGTGCGCAACATTTTCACGCTAGAAAGCATGTTTTATGCAGGAATGTAACTGATATGCTGCAATGGCCCCTTTAAATATGAGATCAGTGTAGTGAATTCTGACGCTTTTGCCGCTGGAGGAGAAGGCAGACAGCGCTGTCACCAGGGCGGGCAGAGCGACCTTGGACGCTCTCACTGCTTTCGGTGTGAACGCACAGTAAGAAATAATCCTAAAAGGCAAATGATGGTGTAAAGCCACATAAAACGAAAGCAAAAGTACAATATATATGCCGAGTTCAGTTACTAGAATTAGCTGAGGTGGTGTGATAGCCATGCCCCTAATTACGCAGAATTTTTAGGCTTGATATAAAATAAACTATTTATATAAATAAACTAGTTATAAAAAAAATTGACCCCCTCACAGTTAACATGGGGGGGTAATATTAGCTATATCCATCTAATCATTTTTGTACCCGGCTGTAAACACGTTTTTTTTTTTTCTTCTATAATGTTGGGCATTTTGGAGCAAGCCCCCAGTGGACATTCGATGAATTGCAGTTTCAGTTACCTCCGTATTAGTTTCACGAGGCAGAGTGGGAGGTTGGTGCTTGCAAAAAACTGCATAATGGTCACGCACACCAATCAATTCCAATCAATCGATTCTGTCTCAGGCTGCACGGTGGCGCAGAGGGTAACGTAATCACCTCACAGCAAGAAGGTCGCTGGTTCGAGCCTCGGCTGGGTCAGTTGGCATTTCTGTCTGGAGTTTGCATGTTCTCCCGGTGTTGACGTGGGTTTCCTCCGGGTGCTCCGGTTTCCCCCACAATTCCAAAAACGTGTAGTATAGATAATTGGGTAGCCTAAATTTTCCATAGTGTATGTGTGTGAATGGGTGTGTATGGATGTTTCCCAGTGATGGGTTGCAGCTGGAAGGGCATCCTCTGTGTAAAACAGATGCTTGATAAGTTGGCGGTTCATTCCACTGTGAAGACCTCAGATTAATAAAGGGACTAAGCCAAAAAAAAATGAATGAATGATTCTTTCTCATCTCTATACTCACTATATACATAGAGTATTTATCATTAAAAGATGACCTTTTATCAGTATTGTTGCCGTGTACGTTTTATGTATAGTGCTTGTTTGAAGAAAACTTCTATTTGAATATTATTTCTTGAATGTTTGATAGCCAATCCTGCTGATATGGTATTAAGCACAACAGCAGTCTGAGTAATGGATGTTCCGTGTGCGAGTGTGAATGTGTGTGTGATTTATTAACCTGCTTCTGGCCTTCACTTGTGTTGCATAGTTGATTTCTTTATCCTCCCAAATATCTTCTTCCTCCTCAGCTTCTTCGAATGGACGGATTCTCTCCTTCGTACGAGTCTCAAACACGGCAGAGCTCGCCTGAGAGAGGAAAGAAAAGAAGGGAGGGGTGAGTAAGGAAACTACAAAATTTGCAGTTTAGTTAATTTAATCTCCAAATTGTAACTTTTATCTCCAAATTTCATAAAACTCGCAACTGTGATGTTATAATTCTGAGAAAAAAGTCAAGACAAGTAGTGTAGATCTCTTTTTACAAAACGATTTAACAAAAAGATCATTCAGACGTACAAATGTTGCTGTAAGTGTAGAAAAACACAAGATAAAGATTCCAAATTGCAAGCAAAAATGTCAGTTTTGTGAGATATTTAATTACAGCAACTAAATTTGAAACTCTTGAAACTTTGAAAAAGTGAGAATATGAGCTATAAACGGAGAATTGCAAAATGAAACCAGAATTAAAATATATAAACTTAAAACTGTTAAAAAATAAATAATTGCAAGATCTTCTAATTGTGATTTAAATAATACTACCATCAAAGCGCTTTACACATTTTTGGGGGGAATCGCCTAATTTACCACCAGTGTGCAGCATCCACCTGGATGACGCGACGGCAGCCATATTGCGCCAGACCGCACACCACACACCAGCTGACTGGTGGAGAGGAGACAGATTGATGAAGCCAATTATGATATGGGATGGTTAGGAGGCCATGATGGACAGAGGCCAGTGGGTGAATTTGGCCAGGATACCAGGGTTAAACCCCTACTCTTTTATGAAGGACATCCTGGGACTTTTAACGACCACAGAGATTCAGAACCTCGGTTTAACTTCTTATGCAAAAGACAGCGCTCACTGAGCAGCATAATATACTGGGATGTTAGGACCCACACAGACCGCAGGTTGCGCGCCCCCTGCTGGCCTCACTAACACCACTTCCAGCGGCAACCTAACTTTCCCATGTGGTCTCCCATCCAGGTACTGACTGCTTAGCTTCAGTGGGTGAGAGATACAGAGAGCTACCTGCTGGCTTTAAAATGTCAGAATTATGTAAATTATACAAACTATTTGTAAATTATAAATATTACAAACAAACTTGTGAGAAATAAAGTCGGAATACAAAATATAAAAGTAGAACTGCAAAATATAACCAGAATTGAAATATATAAGCTCAAAATGGCAAAAAAAAGATTATTCCAGAATATAAAATAGATAAAATAATAATTTCATAATTTTTTTTGTTTAATTTCATTAATCGTGTTGTTTTGTTTATTAAAAATCAGATTTGTGACATTTAAACTCAGAATTACAAGAAATAAATTTGAAATTTTGAGAAATAAAGTGAGAACACAAGCTGTAAACAGAGATATAAACAAGAGCAAAAAATGAAATCAGAATTGAGAGATATCAATTATAAACTCAAAATTGAAGAAAAAAATAATGCACAGGTGTATAATCTTCTAATTTAATATAAAAATGTCAGAATTATGAAAAAAATCTAAATCGCAAAATACTGCGCAAGCTTTTTTCCATCCAAGTTGAGAAATAAACGCATCCCAATTCCCAACATTCATCCCAAAACCAAAAAAAGAAAAACACAAAACAAGCATGGTTACAAAATAACCTAAAAACAGAAGCTAAAAGGTCATGAAATAGCTTGAATTAGAGAATTGACAATGATCAGGACTCACTCCTTCATCCACCAAGTTAAAGTTGATCTCTGTGATTCGATCAAACGTGGCGCTGCAGCAAAACACACACAAAAGTGACCTTAGAAAATAACCATAACCAGTCCCGATCTTTACATAACCTTTTATATAAAAAAGATATAGTTATGTATTAGAAAACCAATTAAGCTCATTTTAAAGGCTATTTTAGACTTAAACAAAAAGAATATGAATGACACTGGTTTTTAAATGAATAAAACTACACTTCCTGGCAAAAGTCTTGTCGTCTATCCAAGTTCTAGGAACAACAAATAATAGCTTGACTTCTAGTTGATTATTTGGTATCAGAAGTGGCTTAAATGAAAGCCAAATTCCTCTAGATTACGCTTATTTGACCAAAATAAAATATGATTATACCTTCATGATAATATCATGATTTTTAATTATTTCATTAGGCCAGTATGGTTTGACTATGCTTAGACAAAAGTCTTGTGACTTTACAGAAATATTGTCCAGTATAGAATATAAAGTCATGCTGCAGTGAAGGAATATTGTGTATGACTCCCATAAGCTTGGAGGACTGCATCCATACATCTCTGCAATTACTCAAATCCCTAATTAATAAAATCAGCTGGAATGGCAAAGAAAGTGTTCTTGCAGGACTCCCAGAGTTCATCAAGATTCTTTGGATTCATCTTCAATGCCTCCTCCTTCATACTACCCCAGACATGCTCAATAATGTTTATGTCTGGTGACAGGGCTGGCCAATCCTGGAGCACCTTGACCTTCTTTGCTCTTAGGAACTTTGATGTGGAGGCTGAAGTATAAGAAGGAGCTCTATCCTGCTGAAGAATTTGCCCTCTCCTGTGGTTTGTAATGTAATGGACGCACAAATGTCTTGATACCTCAAACTGATGATGTCGCCATTCACTCTGCAGATCTCTCGCACACACCCATACTGAGTGTAACCCCAAACCATGATTTTTCCTTCACCAAACTTGACTGATTTCTATCAGTATCTTGGGTCCATGCAGGTTCCAATAGGTCTTCTGGAGTATTTGTGATGATTGGGATGCAGCTCAACAGATGATTCATCAGATCAATCTACCTTCTGCCCCTTTTCCAAATGATCAACTAGAAGTCAAGTTATTATCTGTTGCTCTGACAACTGGGATCGACGACAAGATTTTGTCAGGTAGTGAACGTTTTCATGCATTTTGAGGAACCAAATGTAATCTTTTTTTGTCAAATTATTATTAGTTTTTTTTGAAGTAGCTTTCAATTTAATAGTTTTAGTAAACAATAGTGTATGAACGTGCAATTTTAGGATGTTTCCTTAAAATAAATGTCACATTTTGACATGTTTGCACTTAATACCAGAATCTACATTTAACTCTGAATGTAAACGTCTGTGCAGGAGTCACCTTATACTCCCATCATGCTCTCTGAACTCATCGTCATTCAGTCCAAACTGATCAACAAAGTTTGCGGTCATCTGCTGGATCTGATAATCTGAGAACACCTGCATTAAAATCAAGAAGCTCGTCAAAAGTGAGTAGAGGACTGTCATGTTTCTGATAGTTTCATGTTTATGTGAAATCTCACCAGGTCTGCTGTGTTTTTCTTGTTAGTTTCTGTCAGCGTTTCATTTACAAACTGCTCCCAGCGAGATTTATAGTCCTCTGGAAGCTCTGCAATTCACAAACAGCACGAATGAATAAATAAATAAATATTTAGCTACTGAAAATGATTTGGAATTTTTGGATTTTTTGGGTATGTTTTTGAGAAAAATTTTGTATTCTTTAAATATTGTTTTGCTTTTTAAATTTTATTTATTTATTTAATTTTTATTTACTTCTATTTAATTATAATTTATTTGTTTATTTATTTTAATTTACATAATTGTATTTTTCATTTTATTTATTTATTTTAATAAAAATATTTATTTAAATTTAGATATTATTTATTTATATTTAACAGAAATTAAAAAAAATAATAATTGTATTTTTATTTTCTATTTTATTTGATTTTTTTTATTTTATTTATTTATTTATTTGTTTTTATTGATTGTCTCGTTGCTTGCAGAACTTTTCAGTTGGTCACAGAAGGACAAGTTTCATCTGTTGTGATTTAAAATGGGACCAAATACTGATTTCTTAACCTTTCTGAAGTGAAAACATTGGTATTGTGTTGTTATTTTATGCAAAAACATTGGGAAGATGCGTCATCAGCAGTTTACAAAATAAAACAAATCTATGCTTTATTAAAACACAAAACTATTCATCTGGAGACACTAGACATTTCAGGGTGGCTCTTTATTTTTCCTGTTAATAGTGAAAACAGTTTGTCTTTCCCTGTTCTGAATAATGTCATATTTAGAGGGTATGTTGTGAAGTAAAGGTGCTGTGTTGGGTAACGTTTCTTTTAAAAGCAATATATTACAATCTTAAGCCTTTCTTAACCTTAAAATAAATAAATAAATAAATTACATAACATTAATCCTTATTACATAACATGCTTAAAAAGTAATAAAAAATTATTAATTTAATAAATAAATAATTAAATAAAACATTACAAAACACCTACCTTTAAATTACTTTGCTTAAGAGAAACTAAGAAAAAAATAATAATTTAATAAATAAGTAAATAATTACAAAACACCTACTTTCACATTGCTTTCCTTAAAAAGTAAGGATTCAAAAAGGTAACGATTCGCACTAAAACGTTTCAGCACAATGCCTTCCTCAGTGTGTCTTTAAATCAGCCGAAGAAAAATAAAAACAGTTCTAAGCAATTACTTGATGAATGTGAATCATTACCTATGGGATTATAACATCGACAAGAATGAGTTTCTTAAAAACTGCAAGCGTGCAGGGCAAACTTCAGCAACTCTTAAAAAGGAAAAATAATTAAATAAATATAAAAATAAATAAATAAATAATTAATTAACACCTACTTCCAAACTGCTTTCCTTCAAAAGTAAAAAAAAGTGAATACATAAATATATAATAAATATTAAAGATGTAATTTTTGCCCTGAATTTAGAGCCCGGATTGGAACTTGGGATGCCTGAAGCGCATTGTTGCCGCACTAACCACTAGGCTATCGGCACCAAACATTGAAATACATTTATACAGCACGTTGTTGGCTATATTTAGGGCCACCAGGAGCTTATTTCACTTGTTTTCTGAATGATAATAAATGGCTCTGTAGTACCTTGTAAGAGCTGTGTGATGAGGGTCTGTTCCTGTTCTCGCTCTGCATTCTGCACCACAGTGTTGGCCATCCTGGTCAGATGACCCATAAAGCCTTTCCTCATGCCTCCTGCTTCCCTAGAACACACACACACACACACACACACAAAAGTATTAGATTGCAACATACTAAAGCAGTAAAATAGTATTGATTCTTACTCGTATTGATGGATATTTCAAAGGAGTCCTTACTGTGTTTTGTCATTTTCATCCCAAGCATCCAAAATCCTCTGAACCAGCCTGCAGTCCTTCAGTAGCTACACACACACACACACACACACATACACACACAAACATTATTTCCATTTTTTTTTATTATTTAATCTAATGTATGAGGGTTGTGCAGTGTTAATCTATTCTAAAATCATAGTTGCAGTTATCAAGATGAGTGAGCTGACATCTTTGACTATTATTAATTTGTTTTGTTTAATTAAATTTTTTTTTCATTCGTTTATTCATTTTATTCATTAGTCCCTTTATTAATCCAGAGTCGCCACAGCGGAATGAACCACCAACTTATACAGCACATGTTTTACGCAGCGGATGCTATGGAACAAAATCAATGCCAAAAGTTTTGAATTAGAAAGCTTGTTGAATAGATGAGAATTAATAAGTTCTTGCATTTAAATGACTTGAATTCTAGGTTTTGTATTTTTAGGTCCTGAAATTGAACATAGCTGTTTATTTTAGCTGTGAATATTTCAACTAAAAATATTTCAAACACGTTCTCTTACTTATAAATTCAATAATTCATATTCAATTCATATAGTTGTAATGTCGAATTTTAACAGCCGAATTTGAACCAGTGAATTTATGGAAGCGAATATTTGAACTAAAAATAAAATGACCTGAAAATTGCCTTTTGAATATTATACATCATATTTTTAAAGGGTATTGAACATTTTGTAAGTGAAATCTGGAACTTGAATATGAATAAAAAAAAAAAAAAAACATTATATTTTACTCAAACCAATAACTAGTTTTTCTTCATTTTTGCACAGCTGTAGATGAATGCCAACAATAGAAAAAGTATTATTATCATCAATAAACATACTCACATGCTTGATCAGGTCACCGCGTGTGAACATGTCAGATTTGTCAGAATTCTGTGTGTCGGAGTTTTGTGTTTCCAGCTGAAACTGATCTGGACTGTCATGTGTTTTCCCGTTTGGTGTTGTTGGGTTAAGGATGGCAGAGACACAATGTTCCACCTGGACGTGCAGGAAGTTATTCCAGGAGAACTTAAAAAACAAATCCTAAAGAGAGATTCAGAAATTCAGAAATTAAGGAGCATTTAAAGGGCACCTAGGATGCAAAATCTAATTTTGTAAGCTGAAGCTGAACTTTTGGAAAAAACTTTTTGGGCTCTTATTTTAACGATTTAAGTCTAAAGCACACGGCACAAAAGCATTAAGGGCATGTCCGAATGCACTTTTGCTATTTTAAGGATGGAAAAATATAGTTGAAAATAACAGGGTTGTGCTTATATCGTATCTTGTAATGAGTTATGGGTGTGTTTTCAGAATAAACCAATCAGAGTCTCATCTCCCATTCCCTTTAAGAGTCAGTTGCATCGCCCCAAAGCGCATTTGCTATTTAAATGGTCCTCTTCATGAGGGGAAAACTAAATGGAATAACTGAAAGCTATACTAGCAAGAAAGCAGATCATCTGTATGAGGATAAAGAACGAGCATCCACCATTCAGCCTCTTTAATTTAACTCTTTACTTTACTCCTTTAATTTCGTGGAGTAAGGAAACGGTGGAAACTCACTCCACTGAAGACATCCATTAGCTTACATATTTAATCTTGTTAAGTGTATAAATTTGTTTAAAAACTATTTCTAAATTCAGTTCTCATTTACAGCAAATGAATAAATGAACAATAATAACAAAGTGTGGTCAAAACACTGGGTTAAACCAAACACACATCCTATTCTATTCATATAGTGACGCAGACGTCTCCAAAACCCAACAGGAGGATAAAGCTTTACTGGTTTTTATTAAAACAAATATAAATATGTATTTAATTAAATTAATACTGATAATAATAACAATAATAATAACATTATACAAATGCAGATTATCATGAATAAACTGAAAAAAGCCCCCCGGACATGAAGAAGGGAGGTTTGAACCTGCATAGGTGCATAACTAACGCGCTCTGTGCTGGACTTTATAGCAGCTTTTAGTTGGTCAATGGCGCGGTCTATTTCAGTCCATCAACACACCTCCTGTCTAGACCAGCACACCCATGAGTTCACAAAGTGGAGCAAATAGATTTACTATTTAAACAACATGGTGCAAAACATGAACATTACTGTTGCGCCAGTCTGAAAAGAGCAACAAATCGCGTAAAACACGTCTTGCGCCTTATTGCACCGGCTGTATGATAGAGCCCTTTGTCTTGGTTTAAAGTTGCTTGACTTCCTACACGGTCACATTCTTACAAAACACATCCAAATAATAAATATTTGTCACTGTTAGGGTTAATCTTTGCAATACCTCCACAAATAACATGCTCTGAGCCGTGTTTTTAGTTAAAGGTGCAGTAGGTCAGTGGTTCCCAACCTTTTTTTGCCAGAGACCCCCTTTTCCCCCGGTTAATATTGTAAGGCCCCCCTCCACATTTAATGATATTATCGCTAATATAAGTTAGCAGTAGGTATGTCAAAAAAAAGACAGTTACCATATATATATATATGATATATATGATATATATATATATATATATATATATATATATATATATAGATATGTTTATGCACAAATAATAGCCTAATATGATATATAAAAGTAGTCCATTTGTATTGGGTACACCGTCCTGTATTGAAGATGAGTCGTCTGCAAATGTCTTATTATTTTGCACGTCTCATGCATTTGTTATCAAGAACTTTGGTGCAGATAATGCACTGTGGCTGGGTCAGGGACTCTGTGCTTGAAAAATAAAATAAAACCATAGTTCAGGTAACGATCTTGGTGTTTCCAGTATTGCTATCACTTTGACCCGAAATGTTTGAAGCTTCCTCTCCTGGGTCTAGTATGCCTGGGTCATTGCTATTAGCTGCTGAAGGCGAATCAGTCTTTTTTTGTAGAGTACGAATTACAAATTTTCCATGTTTTGGTCCATGTTTGGGCCGGGACCCCCCAGTTGGGAACTGCTGCAGCAGGTGAATGTCTTAAGAAACATGTTTTATTGTGCTGGTAATTCCCATAATTCCCATAATTCTGATAAGCAGCTCAAACTGTCAAATGTAGATTTGAATCATAATTGGAGTTACTTTTGCACGCTGGAGGAAGGATGACACCATGGCTGAAGTATTTCTTTTAGACAGGTAATGTTATGTTTAAATCTATTTTAGTCACGCAAAGCTGATGTAGATTTGTTGTTTTACGAATGGGCTATATTGTATATATTGTTTTCAAAGCTATTATGCTAATGGTTAGCAATTTGGCAGATCACTATCTTCCCCCCTAAATATAATCCCAACTCAACATTGCAGATCCTGAGATGATCTGACAATTGCAGATTTGTACATTGCCATATATCAATGCTGAAACAATGTACTGTGCAGCCCAATTAGAAAGAGCTGATAACATGACTCTTACCAGCAGCAGGTTGATGATGTTCAGTCGGCAGAGCTCGTGGTGGATTCTGGGAGCTCGGGTGTAAAGTAGAGCCGCCAATAGTCTGGATGCATGCAGTCGCGCATTTCCAAACGGCTCCTCCAAAATGCCCATTGTGGTCAACATCGCAAATTTCTGAGCGAGGACAGAGAGTCAAGAGCACTTTAAAATACTGAATATGTGTAACGCCTTTGTAGGATTATATTTATCTTTGAACTGGATGAGGGGAGCAACCTTGGGTGGGTTTAACAGGAGGTGGTGAAAGTGCTTTAGATGAGGCTGGATGCCCATTAAAATGCTGTTGTTTACAGTGTAAGACTTTTCCAATCCCTGAGAGCACGGGTCAATCACCTGCTCAACACTGACACACACAAACAGACACTTTATTTACAATACTGCATTTCACAAGAGGACACACTTCATTTGTCACAATTTATGGCACAGTAGGAATGCATTATTATTAGGGATGTAACGTTATTGTAAATACCGTCATACTGCAATAGCAATTTTTTTCAATATTACCGTAGTCGCATGACTCGATAAAACTATAGGTCTTCTGAGAAAATTTGCTCAGGCGAATGAAGCGAACGGGAGGTAGCGGAAACTACAATTCCCATCAGCCCAGGCGTGGCCATCATCCTTTGTGGTCTGTTGTCTACAGATCCAGTAATGCGGAAATGGAGTGTGCTGCTAGTAGTGGGGATGAATAAGAGCTGGAAATGATCGAACCTAAAGCGGGTTTTAAATCGGATGTGTGGAAGCATTTCGGTTGGGGGTGTTGTTGTTGACGCCGCGCGTGTACTGAATAGCGGTGTTGTCGCGTCGGGCGGGACGGAGGGTGTGTCGCGTTGCGGGGGCACTTTTGATCATTTTGGAAGGGCATTTTCTATCCAGGACTAAAAAGGGCATGTGCACTGCACAGGTTGAGCCCTATGTGTGCACGTGCCTGCAAGTTGGGGAATACGACTAATAACAGTCATGGGGACTGCAGAAACACAGCACACTGTTCAGATTGATGCAGACATTGACTTGTATCGCAAAGAGACCTCTATCTCACTCATGGCTTGTCCTCTCAAGTGGGGGAAAGACAATGCACAACGTTACCCACTGCTGTCAACATGGGCCAAGTTATATCTCTGTCCCAGAAACCTCAGTCCTAAATGAGAGGGTTGTTTTCTGTTGCAGGGAACATTGTTAATGCCCAGAGATCCCAGCTTTTACCAGATTATAGTTATATGATAATTTTCCTTAAAACCTATCTCTATCTAAGTGAGTGATTAAATGTTGAATGTGATGAGTTTTCAACAATACTAAACTGAAACTTTATTTTTTTTACATGGTTTAATAATTTTTTGTTATTAAAATTGAAAAATTGAAGTTCCTGTTTCAAAGCTTACAGATAGATGGCTAATTTGTATGTCATTGACACTTTTGGCACTTTTTTCGAGTCTTTTCATTAGTTTTGTTTTTCCTGTAAATTATTCAATAAATACCGTACCGTGCCATTCATACCGAGGTATTACCGTACCGTGAAATTCTGATACCGTTACATCCCTAATTATTATGATAAAAAATACAGGGAAATAGTTATATCTGTAATATTACCATTAATTAGCTGTTTTCTATGATGATATACAGTTGAAGTCAGAATTATTAGCCCTCCTAGATATTTTTTGGCCCAATTTCTGTTTAACAGAGAAGATTTATTCAAAACATTTCTATACATAATAGTTTTCATAACTCATTTCTAATAACCTATTTATTTTATCTTTACCATGATGACAGTACAAAATATTTGACTAGATATTTTTAAAGATACTAATATTCAACTTAAAGTGACATTTAAAGACATAACTATGTTAATTGGGCAAGTTATTGTATAACGATGGTTTGTTCTGTAGACAATTGAAAAAAAATTGCTTAAGGGAGCTAATAATATTAACCTTAAAATGTTATTTAAAGAGGCCCTATTATACAATAAATAGAGTCATATTTTGACTGTAAGGGTCTCTAACAACAGTCTTATGTGCATGCAAGGATAAAAAAACACTTTCATTGTCTTATAATATGCATTTATTTTTATCTAATTATCCCAGCGACTCCCATATTAATCGTTCAGTGATTTATTTGTTCCCAAACCCTTCCTTAACGTGAAACTAATCTGTGCTAATTCGACCGATGACAGCCTGTTGTGATTGATCGACACTAGTTACTAACACCATAGTACACAGTACCCTGTTCTCACCAGTGTTATCAGGACCGGCGCACCCATAGAGATGACCTAGGCGGCAACGTCCGCGAACCCCCCGGCCCTCACTATAATCCGTGACACTCACCCCCTCCCTCCCGGTCCTCACTTTCATCTGCGAACTGGTCACTTTCTTTTTAACTTTCGGGTTGAGGGCAGCGTGATCGCCTACTGCACCAGTTCAGCTTGCTCCGGCCCTGTTATTTAGACACCTCAACCCAAACCTAACCCCCCCAGTCTCCCGGATTTCCAGGGACAGATGTTGGCAGGTATGTGTGTGCAGTTAAAGACCAGCATATTCCTAACCATGACACACACATTCAGTATTTATCCACACAGCGGCAAAAGCTGAACTATTTTGAAACTTGACCATATTTTGATGGCCATAGCAACGACAATCGGCAGTGGATCACAAGCTCACAAACGCATTTAAATCCGTAAACAAAGTGGCACGCATTGCGTTTTCAACGTGGTTTGAGACGCAATATAAGAATATTAAGGGTTAACCAGATACACTACAAGCGGTTACAAGTAACAAAACACAACTAAATACATAATTTGCAAGCTAGAGAAAACAAAGAGGCAACAGTTTTAATCGCACTTAATAACACTTGTGAAATGGAGGAAGAAACTGATCCATGATCCACTGATCCATGTACTGACAAGGACCCTTACATCAATAGTCTTTTCTGATGTCCCGTTGTAAGCATGTAGATTCCAGAAGCACTCAAACAGCACAAGGCTGGGCTATAATGCTGAGGTATTTTTGCAAAAATAAACCTCAATCACTCACTCTTCACAGTTTCATCTTTGGGTAGAGAAAATAACACTAACTTTCCCCTCATACTTCCAGTAATATCCAGCTGAGCACAACGTTGATTCAACCGGCGTCCGCTACAGTGTGTGTCTAGCCTCTTTTGCTTTGCTACTGTGCTAGTGGGCAGGGTTGCAGGTTTCAATTTTCCCGGGTTTGCGCGCGCAACAACTGGACAGGGCTATAGTTTCGTATACACATTACGCAGAAACGGCTAAAGACTCGTTATCAAGACGATTCATTTAAACTACTAGGAGTCGACTCTTTTATGAATAAATCTATACTTTTAAACACTGTGCACTGTCAGATATAAGCCTCAGCTGGATATTTCACTTCACTTAGAGCTGTGTGTCAAAAACCCATAATAGGGGCTCTTTAAAAATGTTATCTGCTTTTATTGTAGCCAAAATAAAACAAATAAAACTTTCTCCAGAAGGAAAAATATCAAAGGAAATACTGTGAAAAAATCCTTCCTCTGTCCAACATCATTTGGGAAATATATATAATATATATATATATATATATATATATATATATATATATATATATATATATATATAGGGTGTCACGATCCTCCAAATCCTCGATTCGATTACATTTTCGATTCTAAAGGCACGATTCGATTCGATTTTCGATTATGAATAATTAATTAATTATTGACCAATTAATTATTTGTAGCCTACCCTTTAAACTACC